AAAAAAAACTAACTTAGGATCTAGTGGAAGTATATTGCATATCAACAGACAAAAAACACAAAAAAATAAAAAAAATAGGGGTATGAAAAATAGATGTTGGCCGATTCTCAGACCTACCCGATATGCACACAAAATTTCACGACAATCGGTCGAGCCGGAGGAGAATTCGGAGGAGTTCAACCACGCACACCGTGACACGAGAATTTTATATATTAGAGAAGATATAATGCACGGATGCCCTAGTCACTAGGCCATCCGTGCATTATATCTTCACTAGGCCCTAGTGGTTTAAACGGTCACCTCCCCGTTTCCTAATGCGCTGAGTGTTGTCAACGACAAAACTTTGTGTGATCCACAAATTGTCGTTCAGAGTCTGGGTGTTCTTTGTTCCGTATAATTTATTTATTTATTATATTATTAAGCTTACATTTAGACTATTAGAGTATTCAGTGCCTCACAAAACAACTTTCGCTGTTTGTCTGTGTGAACAAAGTTGTCTCATTACATCTACATTACATTCTCACATAACATCTAATAGGCATTTTTATTTGGCTTATTCCTAATGCCTAATAAATAAATGTAAAGTCTTCCTCGACACAGGATATACACCGTGTTCTTTTCTTATTAAAAAAAAAGTGCTACTAGTTTTAATCTGACGACTAATCTCTGATATGCACGGAAGGTGACTCCATCCCGGTCCTCCGGCAACCTCTTTCACTCGGTTCAATCCAGGTTTTTTAATTAATTATTCAAATCCACATAAATAAGTCCGTGTGGTGACGGATTAAGAATACAAATTGTCACCACCCCAATTCATCCCGTGGGTGTCGTAAGAGCCGACTAAGGGAGCAAACTAAGCAGGACAACAGCACTGCAAAGAGAAGGAAAACTTGAAACAAACCCTATACCAACCCGTCTGGCCAGCGTGGTTTAGTAGGCCAAAACCTCCTTTCTAAGGAGAGGCCTATGTCCAGCAGTGGACTAGTATAGGCTGTTGATGATGATGATGATGATGATGATGACATAAATTAAACAACGATCCCAAAGGCATAGTGTTAAACTTCCAATTAAAACACATTATAAGCTAAAACTAGGAAAAAATTCTTGAACCCACAAAATGCATCATTTCTTGTATCTTATCAGTTTTTAGCATAGATTTATGACCTAGGTGACCTTGTTTTTAGACTGAGGAACGTTAAGAACGTTCTAGAACAAATATCATTTGCTAATAATAATAGCTAGATAAAGTAATAAAAGCTAATAATGTTATTTCGTTTATATTATAATTATGTTATCTGATAATGTTCTATCGTATCGCATCCCTGATAACGAACAGTGATACACTTCTATGACTACGCTACTGTAAAATCAAGCATCTAAGTAGAAAGAAACAGAACATAATTGCAACAGTTGCTTTTCTTAGCACTTTGATCTTAAAAAGTCTGATGGAAGGCATTGATCGTAATTTGGGGGTCCTAATTTTCGTGACGTCACATTTCAAAACCTAATATATGTATAATAAACCATTAAAACGTGAATTATTGACATTCATATAATTCATCATAATTATATTTTGTCATGCTGATTTTTATGTAAATTATTTGATTTTGATTTTAGTAAAAAATAATTTAAATGGGTTTAAAACTCGTTTTGTAACTTACTAACTACTGTTTTAATTTAATAATAAATATTGGGATGTAAAATTGCTAAATATGTGACGTCACAACAAGGTCACAAATGTGACCAAGCTTTAACAGCGACGGGAGTAGGGATCAAAAAAACTATGAAATCCGTGTAACGTAATAATCCGCTTCTGACGTGTATAACAGTAAATCGAAAGTTTGTAAGCTAACAAGTGTTCTCCAGCTTCTTTAAGTTGCTCCATAGTAGGTCGGTTTCAGTTAGTAAGAGAACATGGCTGCCACACGCACGGGAAACGATCTAGACTCCCGGGAAATGAGTTCCAGTTTTATTCACCGATAAACGCAGAATCGTCAGATTGCCAACTATGTAATTATGAGGAGAAAGTGCTGGTAACAAATTACTACAAATTCAAGGCAGACAAAAAGCATTTTTTTCATATACCCACGATTGTTAAGTCTCTAGAAGCTATTATTATTATTATTATAATTTAAAAGACATGCATATAATTTAAAAGATATACATGCATGAGGGGACTATGGACCCTCGGTCGGAACGAAGTTCCTTTCGCTTTTTTGGTAGACGTTTGCTATATATATTGAAATATGGAAAATGAAGTAAGCGTCGAGGCGCCTTTTGAAGTGTCGGAAAAGAGTCTTGTTACAGATGGCTCGGTCTCGTTACCATCCGCTCATATCGTGTAACGTGCGATAAAGAACTTTGTTCTAATAATAGTTACGAGAACGACTTCTTTAAAACAATCCAAAAAAGTAAATCTGAAGGACACAATATTTGCACGCCGTGTAAACAGGTTGATAATTTCACTCAGTTCCGTCCGTAATTCGTTTTGTTTTTCTAGTACAATAAATATATTCATAGTTAAAATGAGTATATCTTTGGAGGCCATCGGCCGGCAAGTCCTACAGGTCGACGCTCCTGGCGTGAAAACTATGTTGATAACTTTATTTGAATTCTTTTATAGTCTAAAGCACGCTCTACAGAATTAAGCCTTTCTAACTAAAATATAAGTTATATATCTCGATTTAATTACAGAGATTTTGATAAAAGAACCATACCCTTTCAGTTAAGGGTCTAATAAAGTGTATAACGGTCAATAATTTAAGAAGCCTGTCCATAGCTGTCTTGTTCCTTCTGGAAAAAAACTGAAATTACTAAAAAAAACATCTTCACTTTTTGAACTGTTCTTTTTTTTCACGTTCTTTTTACTGTGAATTTGTTGATAATTATGATGATTTATAATTTAAAAATGTTTTTGGCGTTACTGTATATGTGGAAACTGCATGGATGGCGTAGTGGTTTAAGCGGTCGCCACGCCGGTAACTACTGCCCTGAGTGTTGTGGGTACGATCCCCACATGAGACGACACTGTGTGTGAAACACAAATTGTTGTTCGAAGTCTGGGTTTTCTTTGTGTCCTATTCATATATGTTTGTAAGTCCCCCGCGACATAGGATATATACCTAATGCGGGAGTTGTCTTTTAAAAAAGAAAGAAAGAAGATGTTTCAGATTGTGTGTAGATGTACAACGTACATTTTTTTTAAATTTGTATCTGTTTGGTTCCCTTTTTTATTTAATTCTGCATCAACGGTTAGGTTATCATAGCACAGGCTCTGTCGAAAATGCAGTCAGAACAGTAATCTGGGATGTTTGAAGTTAATACTATTTTCTAATAAATGAATATACAAAGCTTCCATATCGGCATTATAGGTATTCCAAAAAAGGTAGTTAACTAGTTTGTCATTGGCTATTGCATAGATTTAACATTTCACCTCCAGTATGACCTATGATAAACTGTCAAGGAAACAAAAATTAGTAGGGTGTCGTGTCCACGCACCTCAAATACTTGCTAAAATAGCGTTACGCTAGCACTAAACAGACTGCAAACAGACTCGACCTTACTCAAGGAGAAACAATAATTCCTTTGTAGTTCAACTACTTTTTGTTGATACTGACACACATTTGAATTTCGTATAATTATCTATACATAATCATCTATAAACATGAATCAGAGTTTGTTTTTATAGTCAATATTTTGTGGAATTACTTTTATTATGTTAAATCTAATGCTGTCAGGTCAGACCGGCTGGGCCTCAATTCTGCTATGTTATGTTAACGCTAAGCCACTGTCATTCAATTTGACACGCTATTGAGATGCCATTGAGACGCCATTGACATCGGTCAAAATATCAATATTCTACTAACATAAATTTACAGTGTCAATAGACTCTATCTCTAACATTGTCATACCTGGAAAATTAAATATATCATTTTCTTACAAATTTAAAATGTACCGTTTACCAAACTAATACAAAAACAGTGACGACATTTGTATGAGTGGCAGTTCAGTGACAAGTCATCTAGATTGGCTTTTGGATCGGATATTGATTTTACATAGTTAGTAGAATACACAGTCTATTGATACAATATTAGAATAGGAGAATTGAGGCCCTTTTCGCATGGCGACGCGTCGCCAGCTATGTGATAGTTTATGTTTTGAGGCGTGGCGACGCGTCACCATACCGCATAACATGACGCAAACTCGAAATAAAATGCTTAAAGAGCAGAAAAGTTATGATGATAGTATTCTGAGAGCACACAGCACCATCTTCGATCGAATAGCGATACACGATATGGAAAACTTTAGGTGACGATCTATACCCTCGACCCGTGACCAATAAGGTCAAGGTTGCAAGCCTTACGACAAAAATGCAGAAATCCGAGTTAAACATGTTTTTATTGTTACCCATACAAATATTACCGTTCTCAACAGCATAAATAATACTGCGTGCATTAATTATTCATTCGATATTTCGGTCACGACTAGTCATTTTAAGAGAGATTTCTTTAGTACCAGAGAGTAAATAATTAACATTTTAAAAAGTCTTAGACAGACAGCCATTATGCTATTTTAACTTTTTAATGTCGAATATGTCAATTAAAGCTTAGTGTGATTATTGAGTTTCAGTAAATTTTGTAATTACTTATTCTATTTTTATACAATATAATAATATAGGTAATTTATTCGCATAAATATTTAATTGTTATTTTCTTTCATTCATCGTTGTAGTATTTCTAAAAAACAGTATAAAATTGCATATTTTTTAAGAAAATGTAAGTAAATTAACGACTAATAAATCGACTTTTAATAGTATTTTAGACCAAAAGAAGGATTTTGTTTTATTTAGACAGTCATTTAAAAAAAATAAACACTGCCAATCGTCAAGTTAGAGCATTATGAACAAAAGAGGCATATTGATGATTAATTCTTTTCAATGATATTGCGAGACGCGTCTCGGTCTATCGGTTAACAATAAAAACGTTAAACAAAAAATTTACCTGATTAGTAATATCATATACGACGATCGCTGCTTGCGCACCCCTGTAGTACATCGGTGCTAAGCTGTGATACCTGTGGAGAAAATGTTCATGATGTTAATTTTATTCAATCATATGGCAATTTTTTTTAATAATAAAATTAAAAAAAATACACGATATTTCAAAAAGGAATCATTTTTTGTTTTGTTTGTATGGTTCATTGTCTTTTTGGATTCAACGATAACAAAGAGGCGATAATACATGATAAATGAGTTTCCTTTTGTTAAACGTCAAATGGATATATCATCTGCAGGACAATTGAATGAATGATTTATGATGATATATCCAGATATTATCAAATTATTATTATGTTTAGTCGAACAATTAAAAAGTAATGTCAAACTTTAAAATAAAATATAATCAAATTTTCCAGTTTAAGTTACTATTATTATAAATGCGAAAGTGCGTCGGTCTGTCTGTCGCCTCTTCACGCTTTTACTGATAGCGATAGTTCTATTCTTGATAAAGGATATAGGCTACCTTTTATCGCGATAAGCTACATACACGCGGGCGCTAGTATTTATATATAAAACTATAGTTCTTGAGTTATGTTTAATATTTAAACCGCAAGACTACCGTACAGTACTGACAAATAAATACCCTCAAAAATCGATTCAACTACCTAAAGGAGACTAAAATCAAAGTCTTTGCTTGGCAATTACAGTCAACTAGCTGCGCCCCGCGGTGTTACCCGCGGTAGCCAATATATTTCAATTCCTTATGATGCTCATCTCACGGTAACACTATATTTTTTCGCAATAAAAAGTAGCCTATTTGAACTTAACTAGGTACCTCCATATAAAATTTTATTAGAATGTGTAAAGCCGATTGAACGTGAAGAAGTAACAAACCCACATTCACAAAGTTTCGCCTTTATAATATTAGTGTGATTATAATAAAATCTGTTTAGTTAACTGTCATATTACAATGCATAGTTTGTAATTTTCTCTGTCTGTCTGTCGAATATGTTTATAAAGAAACCATAAACTATTAAGCTTAGATTACAAAATGGTGATTCATAGATGACATTTCATCACGAAAAATGGCGGCAATTATAAATAACATTACCGATCTATGGTTTAGTTAGGATTAGTAATAATGGGGAAGAGATTGCATTTATAGCTCGTCTCAAAAATAGTGATCGTTTGACAGATAACATCGGTCGATGAATGATAACTTTTGTTATAGATTAGTACTTATGATAAGACTTTGATTCGACACATAAAAGAGGTCATTTTAGTGATAACATTTAAGACATCGATGGACAAAGGACTATGCAGTTTGGTTCAGTACCAAACAGATTGACAGTTCAACACAAAAAAAAATAGAAGTAATTTGTCAGATAACGATTCCGAATTCGACGGACAATAGACAATGCAGTTTGGTTCAGTACAGGTGCTAAACAGATTGCTAGCTGCACACGAACATCAATCCTTCAAGAAATAGCGTACTCCTTCCTAAAAGGCCGGCAACGCGTTTGTGACTCTTGAGTTTATGGGCAGCGATTGTCACTTTCTATCAGGTGACCCGTCTGCTCGTCTGCCCCCCTCTAACATAAAAAAAAACACGAAAAAATAGAGGTAAGATAACATTTCCGAATTCGACAGACAATAGACAATGCAGTTTGGTTCAGTACCATAGATAAAAAGATACAGTACGAATTATAAAATGGTGGTATTTGACAGATAACATTTCAGAAATAGATCGACAATGCAGTTTAGTTCAGTACCATAGATAAAAAGATAAAGTTCGACACAAAATGGTGATTTTTGACAGATAACATTTCAGAAATAGATCGACCATGCAGTTTGGATTAGTATCATAGATAAAAAGATTGACAGTTCAACACAATAAAATGGCGGCTGATTGACCGATTACATCGACGATCAATGGAGTATTTTATTAAATGCATGCAATTGTGTTAGTTTGTGGTTTAATAAAAACAATTCTATAGTCAATGACTGACTACTATCGCATAACTGGTAAAACTGTTTTATTTTCAATACCTATCAAATCACTTAGGTACTTATCTCTCTATAAAGTGAAACTACACGATTTAAAGAACATTTGAATCTTCCTACATAATTACCTACACAGTATAATTTCGTGACGAAAGCAAGATTTCTTTAAAATTTACGCAAATGTCATCACGTTGTCATCTTATTCTGGCGACTTCGAACACTGGCCGATATTAAAATGTATTTAATAGTATATTAGAGATTAATTACTTCACGGATGGAGATCACAGTTTAAGAGAGTAGAAATTTATATCTACTTAGCATAATATCGGTTTATCTGTCTGAATGTTATGTGCCAACAAACCGTCGATTAAAAATATTGAAGATACTTCGTGTTTTCGTGACATTGCTATCTCTCGTACTTTACAATCAATTAAGAGACAAAAGCAAAACGAAGGTTACCGTCCATCTAAAGAAAATATGTCATGACTCATATTTTTCCACGCGGCCTTGTTTACTATGACGTCACTATACAACATTGTACTTACATTTGACCACTAATGAATGCGAACAATAATAAAAAAATACATACCACCTATTTAGGAAATCGGCAATAATAATTTATGTTTTTTAAATATAGGAATCTACCCTAGATTTTAATGTTTAAAATAAATTGTTTGGTCTGGATCATTAAATGTAAGAGTTTAAACTACAGCCTCAATTATCCTCCAGTTTCAATTAAATGTTCCTATTTTTTAAATATCTACAAATCAAGTTAAAAGTAAATGATTTGATAATAGCTTGATGTGACGTCACTCGGATTGACGTTTCATAAAATACTCACGATACTAATTTGACTCGACAATCATAGACCCAATTTCAATGTTTTTAATTATTGGATATGTCATCCTCTTTATATTTAGCCGAAGATATACATAGGTTTAGATTGATTATTGTTTCGGCCAAAACAAAAACTTATCTAATGGCATAGACGACCGGATGGCATAGTGGTTTGCGTTACGGATTGCTATTCCAAAGGTCGCGGGTTCGATTCCCGCTCAAGTCAAACATTTTTGTGCATGAACATTTAATGTTTGATTTGGTCTGAATGTTTTTATGTATAATATGTATTTACAAAAAAAAAAAATATATTATGTATTTATATCAGTTGCCTTGCCTAGTACAAGCTTATTAGTTTGGGACTAGATGGCGTTGTGTTAATGTAGTAAAATTTATTATATTATTGTATAGCAGCTTCTAAAATAGTTACCATACATTTAATAGAATGCTTTTTTTTAGATGTTCGTATATGTAAAACAACTTTAATTATAATTTGGATATAAAGGCTTTTAATTATTTAAATAAAATAAAATTTAAAATAGTTTTAAAGTATTTTTATAATAAGAACAGACAATATTACTAATTACTTTTTAATTATAAATTTATATTGTACGTTTAAAAACTTATCATAATGCTCAACACCTAAGAAACGGGCGGTTGTATTGTATAGCATGGTATTTACTTTATTATATTTACTTAATAATGTAGGCTATAAAACATAACTCAACGGTCCTTAGAAACGAAATGGCGACTACTAGCGTGGCGTACTACCATCTTAGTGATTAGTAGTGTGATTTTTGAACTTTATTAATAAATAAATATCCTTTTTTTATGTGTACTGGGCATGTACAGCCTTGGCCAAAAGTATTAGGCACCCCAGAAAAATGCACAATTCATGTTTACTGATTGAACAATGAATAAATGCTTATCTTAGATGGCATGCCGGGGTCACAAATAACTTCCTAGAAAACCAAGCAGCTATCTGTTATGGTCATAAAACACCTGGTGACTGAAAACAAAGGATTTGTTTTTATGCGTTCTTATCAGTCAATGTATGGTCACTTGTGTTCAGGACTCTAACGAGTAAACAAGCTTTTATTTCTAACATGGTGAATAAATTGACGCGTAATTTATTTAAAAATGCCGAAAAGAAGTGGAATTAGTTTGGAAAACCGAGTAAAAATACAACTTTTCCATGAACAAGGGAAGTCGCAAAAGAAATTGCTAAGTTAGTGAAATGTTCGCGTTGCGCTGTGCAATCTGCTATCAAACGGTTTGCTGAGACTGGCAGTCACGCCAATAAACCAAGAACAGGCAGAAAACGTGTGACTTCGAAGCGCGAGGATAGAAAATTAATAAGCGAATCTATGAAATATCGGAAGAAAACATCATCAGAGCTTGCTGCTACTTTGTCCGAAGAGGCTGGAAAACCAATAAGTGCTCGGACCACCAGAAGAAGACTTGGAGAAGCAGGCTTAAAAGGATGCAAAGCCAGGAAGAAACCCTGGCTTTCAGAAGCTAACAAAAGAACACGACTTGAATGGGCTCTACGGCATCAACATTTTACTGAAGAAGATTGGGCCAATGTGGTATGGTCTGACGAATTTAACTTTTAGGTAAGTAAATTTTACTGCTTTTGTTATTAATAATCATGGTCAGTTATTTATTTAACTAAAATAATAAAAGTTAAGGCAGTTAAAAAAGTTCTTTTTTCAACAGATATTTGGAACGCCAGGTGTGACCTTCGTGAGGCGAAGTGTGGGCGAAGAATACCATCCAGATTGCGTCGTACCGACAGTAAAGCATCGAGGAGGCAGCATCTGGGGCTGCATGGCTACTGATGGGGTTGGCGAAATGTTTGTTTGCGAAGGTCGTATGAACAGCGAAAAGTACATAAAAGTGCTTAAAACTGCGCTTATGACTTCGCTTACGAGTATTTTCGGCGACTTAGAGGGAATTATATTCCAGCAAGACAATGCACCTTGTCATAAGTCAGCGACTACGATGCGTTGGTTTACTGAAAACAACATTGACTTGTTTGATTGGTCAGCGCAGTCGCCAGATTTGAACCTAATTGAACATCTTTGGAGCATTTTGAAGCGCAAGATTAAAGAGCATAGTATCACATCGAAAACGGCATTAAAAAATGCGTTAGTACAAGAATGGCATGCCATTACAAGGGAGCATTGTACTAAGCTTGTACGCAGCATGCCAGCTAGAATTAGTGCAGTAATTAAATCCAAAGGTGGACCGACTAGATTTTAGGTTTTTTTCATTCTTTTTTGTGTAATTTAATGGTAATAAATCAATTCAAGTTGTTTTTTTCCTTTATTTTAAGTAAAATGTAGGGTGCCTAATACTTTTGGCCAAGGCTGTATGTAGTAAAATTTAAATATAACTGTATTAAGTAACTTTGTTATTTTAAAGGTGAAAAGAAACTTGTTAGCATATGCTGCTGTTAACATTACTGCGAAAGCAAAATAAGGGAAACACATAAGAACCCTCGTAAGGGAATCTCATTAGAAAGTTATAGATCACTAAAACTTTTACAAGAAATGGGAGAGGCCTGTGTGCAGCAGTGGACTGCGATAGGCTGATGATGATGAAGACTTTTACAAGGATTAAACGGAACAGAAAATACGAGTAATGAAAGCGTTGAAAGAAATAAGTGTAGTCAATCGTGTTGCGTTGAGTTGCATTAAGCATTTTGCGTGGATGATTAATGATTAAACAAAACCAAGGGCGGATCCAGCTTTGGTGCCGGGGGAGAGGAGGGGGGTCATATAGTCGTGGTCAAGACACAAGAAGTTATCGTTTAATTTTTAAAATCATACATAAAAGTAAAAAGTAGGTATTTTATTAATGTATGTATAGTCTGGCAAAAACGGGTAGAAACGGCAACTAAAATTTCATTACTTTGGAAACCCTTTCTCTACTAATCTATGGTTAAGAACGGGTTTCTTGTCTATGGTACAGGTACCGAAGATGTCAGTCAGAAGTAATAATTCCTTCTAAAAGACAATTTATCTATTTCGCGTATTCAGCTTGTACAGTGGCGCCCCCGTTTATTACTATTATTTTTTGCCAGACTATAAGTACCTACTCACCTACTGTACTTAAAAATACCTATATTTAAATCACAAAATCAAGTTTTCCGTAAATCAAGTTACGTCTTCTCCCGAAACGCGTTATCACTTCATCTACTTCAATGGGTACGTTTTTATGGACGTGGAGAAGTGCCAGTCCGGTTAGACGTTCTTCAACCATTGAAGCTCTTAGCCACGATTTAATTCTTCGTAACGTAGAGAAAGATCTTTCATGAGTTCAACACATATAAAAAATTTCTACCCCTAAACATAAGTCAGTGTCACACGAAATGTGGCATCAGATGACAGGAGGCGGTGGCGCGGTAAAATTCAAATTTTCGATGCGTTCGTTCCCGAATAATGCGTATGCCGTAGACATACAAAATATTAATTTATAAAAAATTGATTAAATATTGAAGGTATTTACATGAAATCTATATTGTGACAAAAAAGAAATATCCTTACTTAAAACCATTACCTATGTTTAATAATTTTAATCAGTGGTCCACGGTGGACCCAGCCCAGGGGGGACCCAGGTGGGGGTGGGTCATGACCCCCATGACCCACCCCCTGGATCCACCCTTGAACACAACAAGGTGATAACTTCACGCATATTAGAATAGATAGTCGCGGATCAAGGAAAACTTATATGTTTCTAGTGTCAGAAAGAGCAGGTCTATGATGTAGAACAACTAAAGAATGGTAGATACTGAACCGCCATTGACAACTACATGTTTAATTCAAGTTTCAAAGTAAAAGAGCTCAGACCTAAATATCTTCTTCCCTATTTAAAGTCACGATCAGATGGCCTAGGGTGATAGGGCCGCACTGAACTCTTCATCAATCGCAACGAATAACACGGTCACCGCAACGATACACTAGGCTCTTAGTAGGCAATTCAAGTAATAAACATGATCCTCACCTCTCCTGCCCCGCCGTGTCCCAAATCTCGAACTTAACAGTAGTGTCATCGAGACATACGGTCTGCGTAAGGAACGCTGCGCCGATCGTGCTCTCCTGGTACTCGTGGAACTGGCCCTTGACGAATCGAAGCACCAGCGAGGATTTCCCTACCGCCGACTCGCCTAGAAGCACTAGCTTGAACTGGCATACTTTCGTTTGAGGAGCGCCGTTCGGCCGTTGAGCAGCACCGGTCCTGCTTGTCGCCATCGCCTGGAGCAAAGAAAACTATTTTTAGGCAAAGAAACAGCACAATAGAAAATATTTTTTAACAAATTACAAAGACGTCACAGCTGTCTTTAGATCTAAACTAAACATAGTATCTTGATACTAAGTAACTTTTATTTGGTAAATACATACATTTACAGTCCAATTTAGTCCAATATAAATCTATTGATTCACTGATATATGATGATGAATGAAGTGACGTATGATCATCAAAGTAACCCTGAAGTGCATCTCTAATTCATCATCATAATCAACAGCCTTTAACAGTCCACTGCTGGACATAAGCCTCTCCTTAGAAAGGAGGTTTTGGCCTACTATACCACGCTGGCCAGACGGGTTGGTATTGGGTTGGCGTCAAGTTTTCCTTCTCTCTGCAGTGCTGTTGCTCTGCGTAGTTTTTTCCTTAGTCGCCTCTTACGACACCCACGGGATGAATAGGGGTGGTGACACTCTGTATTCTTAATCCATCACCACACGGACACATCTCTTCTTAAGACTTGATAATACGACATATGTTACACCTGTCAACCCTACTACAATTGCCTACACTTCAATTCATCCCTGACATCAAATCAGTCTTTCATGTCTTGAGCCGCACTTGTACCTACCTGTCCACGTGGACCTACTAAATCCGTGTACTAATTTTCATTACCTTTATTTTTAATACCTTTGAAGGTCATGGCATTTTTTATTAAACCGTGTTACGGCTTCATTGTAGTACGTTAGTATAAATTTTACTAATTCTTTTTACTTTTTTTATATATATACAAAAAAAAAGTATATAAGTATTCTATCAGTCAATCTAGCTTTCATAGTACAAGCTCTGCTTAGTTTGAAACTAGATGGCGTTGTGCGTCACATTTTCAAAAATATTTCATTTATTCTGGTTATTTATCAGTTACTAATAATCTGAGTAACAGTTACTAGTAGTTGACGTCATCAAGGTTTAACAATGGGTACGAGCTCTAGTTAATATTAGGGACTAGGGTTGGTAATCATTCACCATCATCAGCTCTCACAAAGGAACTTAGTATTATTTTCATTTAATACATGTAATTACAATGCAACTGTACCTTGTGAGAGAAATAAATGTTATTATTATCTTTTGGAGGACGCAAATACTTTTCCAGTCTGGAGGCCTACACTATGAGATGAGGAGGTCCTCTTTTCAGAATGAGACGAAAAATTTACATATTTACGTGCTTGGACATGCAGTCTTCAGAATCTTCTAAAACAACTACAACGGCAAAAAAACTTTGTCAACTCAAAATTTTCTTCGATTATCAACATATTTTTGTAATTATCAGATATCATATCGCCTTATGAGTAATATTATAAATGCGACTCGATCACGGCATTACAGCTGAAAGGATCTGGATAAAATTTGGCACAGAGAATAGCCTGAAATAGCACATAAACTGTTATCCCGGCGAAATTGATTGTCATAATCGAAGAGCCGACTAAGGGAGCAAACTAAGCAGGACAACAGCACTGCAAAGAGAAGGAAAACTTGAAACAAACCCTATACCAACCCGTCTGGCCAGAGTGGTATAGTAGGCCCCAAAACCTCCTTTCTAAGGAGAGGCCTATGTCCAGCAGTGGACTAGTATAGGCTGTTGATGAATCGAAATTTACAAAGAACTGGGTGTGCAAAAGGCAGTTGAATCATAAGATCGGAACAATGACAATACAGTTTACAGACCCAATAAGTGACCGAGAGTGTCATAACTCGGTGTGTTCGTGGGTCACTGCTGTGGATCCTGGTGTACAGGAGTTACAGTGGTGGGCGTGTGGGTGGGATTAGTCCCAAAAAGACCCAATAATTTAAAAATAAAAAGTGGGTTGACATGTGCAACAAATGATTGATGATATCAATTGTTATAATATGCATTAAAAACTGTTGTTTATCAATCGATTTAGTCTAGCCTAACTGAGATAAGTGGAATTGAGATTTTTTTTGTTTTTCCTTATAAATGGACTGATTTATTGATTATTTATTGCTATAAAAGGAGGCAAGTGTACTTAAGAAGTGTGATCTTTTTCTAGTTTATTGTGTACTTTTGTTTTTGGGTATCGAAGTTTTATTAATTCATTTATAAACATTCAAATAAGTAATATTCAGTAACATTTTCTGCTGTTTGTTAACCAATTTATATTTTTTGTTTTGTCTTATTGGCTAGCATTAGTGTTATAAAAAAACGAAACGCTTTTTTTCGACTTAGTTAAGCTTTGACAAGTCTTATTGTAAAGCCTTGACAGTCTTTAATAAACGAGGTTCTGTATTCGATCATGCATGTCTTTGTTTTTTTTAAAGTAATTAACTCACGTTTATAACTATCTAGCTATATCCTTCATATTTACAGAAACGTTAAATTAGTATCTGATTTATTAATATTTACAAGCTATTTTTTACATCAAATTTCGTTGATATTTTTATTTCTGGTAAAAAATATTTTGAATTAAAATTTAGAACTATTACACAAAATTTTCATCAATAAAATTTAGGCATGTATCCCCCTTGAAACAAACCCTATACCAATCCGTCGGCCTAGCGAGGTATACTAGGCTAAAACCTCTTTTCTGAGGACAGGCCTATGTCTGCAGTGGACTTTATTAAAGGCTGTTGATGATGATAAATTCTCTACTAACAAAACTTATAAAAGAAACATTCGAAAAGCCTCTGATTTGCACATAATAACTCAAAGGAAATCCAGTAATCATCAACGATAAAATTATAAACTAATTTAAAGGGGGCGTCAACTGTCAGATAACAAACCGCGAACGACTAAATTAGTATTAAATCTTAGTAAATTGTATTCGGCTCATTAATTTATCTAAACAAACAGATTTCTGTGTACCAAAATTACTTTAAATACCAACAGAGTTTCTGAACCGAATCAAACCTTATGATAAGGCATTCTTGGTATTCTTGTGACAGGTAAAAACCTATCTCTAAACACAGAGGTTACGATGACGTGTGGTTTTGTCAATAGTAGGTGTGTTGCATTGTCTTTGTTACTACACAAGACGTTTTAGAGAAAGGCCCGTATATACGAGAAGATTAGGAGATAATATCACATTGTTCTAGGATTAAACTCCTAATTAATAGTTTCTACGTGGTCAATTATTTTAGTAAACAAAAAGAATTATTCAAATGTTTTTATTTTTTGTAACACATCAAACTTTGTGTGCTTTAAGAGGTTAAGTTCAGACGTATGTACGTGGTTAAGGATCTATTCGCCAGAGCAACGTGGGAGAGCCATACTTTGGAAGAAATGGACCTGCTCGAGCGGAGAGATACCTCGGTCTCACAGAAAACCGGTATAAAGCCTCGCTGCTTTTCATCAAGTGGGTGAGGTTACCGGAGCCTAAAACCCTTTCTCCTCCTATTTCTGGCAGGGGGTCTCAAAGAGCGGAGCGCGCTTATAACTCTTTAAGTTGTAGGTGTCGGGCATCGGTAGTCTCTTGCCATCAGAGGCCCAAGATCACGGTGACCGCGTTCGGCGACGTGATTGGTCCGCACTGATATCTCCACCAATCGCAACACCGAACGCGTTCGCTGTCAGAAGCGATTCGATGTGAAATAAACTCACACTTGGACCTCAGGTGACCCGTCTCCTCTAGCACAAAAACAAAACAGTAAAGTTACTATTTTTTAAATTAATTTAGAAATTGAGGAAAAAAACAGATACACAATTGTTTACATCAAGTGGTGTGTGATTATTTCTCACTCTTTTTAACAGTTAGATAAAAGTTGAAGGACACAAAACAAAGAAAGGAGATAGGAACAGCGCCGACAGTCAACAACACTTAATGGCGTCCTCTTTCTCACAAAAACAATAACGTGGTCTCACTATGTTTCACTATCTCAGGCGAATGTTATTATAATTAGCATTATTTATCATTGTTGGCCCACTGACACTAAATAAAATAAAGACACGGATATAAAAATGTGACATACCTATTGCAGTCAGTTAATAATGTGGTTTTTTAAACCAGTGAATACAGTGTGTATCTCATAGAGTGAACGAAAGCTCCAATCTAGCAATATAGGCAACGAGAGAGATGGAAAATAGCTAGTTCCCTCTATCTCTTTCTAGTCGAACTCTGTGCTTGGCTGGGGAAATTTCTAATCTCCCGCCTTTTTTACGACATTTCACGATATCCAATTGCAGCTTAGCTAAACAAAGACAGAGGGAACTATCGGGTATCCATATCTCTATAACTATCCATTACCTATACCGCTTCCACTTGCAGGCAGCTGTACACCGTGATCTGTCTATGTTTATATCTCTATTATTTCTCCTTATTCTAGAGATTGATTGGCTGTTGAACGGTTTTGAATGTCTTGCAGGTAGGATTTAACTGTTATACTATAGATTTCTATATTATATACATTTTACATTTTTTACAGACTGCTGGAGAAGTCAATGCGTATCTAGCTATAATTTAATAATCTCAGAAACAAACTACAAATGATCTCATAAATTTTCTAAGAGGTACCACCACTTATAAGCCTTCCTAGAAATCTTATGTAAACAATATTGAATAATATAAGCACACTTTTAGTGGTTTGGAATTTGTGATAAGTTTAATAACGGGGAAGGTTTATATTAAAACAAGTATTTGACAGAACATATTGTGTGATTTTTTATCTTAGTAACAGTGTAATGGTTGAGTTCATATTTCTTAGGTAACAATACCAGTATATAGGGAAGCCATAGGCATTAATCAACACATGTTAAGTAGGACAAGTTCCCGCCTTAGCCATGTTCTGCCAATGAACTTCTATGACATTCATAAACAGATAATTAATAATAACAGATAATTTGGCGCTCCACCACTGTGCACTTTTCAAGACACTTTTTTCCCTCGCACTACCAATCTGTGGAACAAGTTATCGGTTGCGGTATTTCCGGACCGATACAACCTTCAAGAAAAGAGCATACTCCTTCCTCAAAGGCTGGCAACGCACTTGTGACTGGGTTGAATGCGTTCATGGGCGGTGGTAGTCGTCTATTCCATAAAAAAAAGATATGTAAATACAGTACATATCATTTGTGAAGTTCTGCCAATCAACCTCTATGACATTCATAAATAAACAGATATGTCAATATAATACATATCATCAATGAACTTGTATGTGTATATGGCTATGGTATTGTTTTGCAATTTTTTTTAGCATTTTCATTTGTGAAATTAAAAAAGATCACATGCTTCATTTTGAGCAATCTGATAAAAAAGATATGTTGTATAAGTAATTGGTATAAACATTATCAAGGAATTACTTAAAAGACAATTTTCTTCATAATGTTATTTGAATGTGTAGTAACGTGGGGGTGGACGGCAGACGGGTCACCTGATGGAAAGTGACCATCGCCGCCCATGAACGTCTGCAACTCAGGAGTCAGAAACACATTGCCAGGCCTTTTAGGAAGGAGTACACTCTTTTTTGAAGGTTTATTGATAATAATAATTTACTTTTAATGATAATAGTAGCTAATACTTTTTTTTATTGCTATTCATCCCATAGGTGTTGTATGAGCTGACTAAGGGGGCAAACTACGCAGGGCACACACCAACCTGTCTGGCCAGCATGGTGACCTAAACTGCCTTTCTAAGTAGAGGCCTATGTCCAGCAGTGGACTATTGGTCTGGGTATGGGTTGTTGATGATGATGATGAATTGTTTTCATTCAATGAAACAAATTGACAGAATACAGTGACAGTTCAACACATACTGGTCATCAACACAAAACATTCAAAACTGAATCAATTATTATCTCTGGTACATGTAATCTTGTAAATATTTACCTTGATAGAGAATAATCATATTCATTCAACCATTATTTGTATAAAGTGTCTCTTTGAAAACAAATATTTACTTTTACGGTTTTTACAGAATTAAAATTCCACGCTATCAAACTATCAAGCAGTGGAATTCAAGGATGTGCCAATCAAAGTATTACTTACTACATTACCATTTGATAAAGATAACTGAAGTATAACACTTAAATGAAGTGGTCTGCATTATTTATTTATTAAAGACTTCCTGCAAACATACAGCATAAGGTGGACTTAATGCCACTGGCATTTCCTTCTAGTCAAACCTTTGGGTATTGCAAGGCTGTGTGTGGCAGGTGTATATTTGGGACAGGTAAGAGAGAGATGAGACCGAATTAAAAAACATTACAAAGAGAGAAAAAAACATACTGATATATATGTACTATGTATACATGTATATAAATATCAAAATATAATATATATAATAATAAAGATACTCTTAAGGTGTTATTCTGATGACTCCATCAACAAGTCTCTATAGAGCTTCCGTACTTTAAACTTAAAAGTGGACCAGTTATTAGACATCCTGATTTCTAGTGGGGGTGTGATCCAAAGGGTAACAGCTTGAACAGGGAAGTAAGAATAGACCATACTGGAAATATGTGAAGGACAAAGAAGGAGAAGATTGTTAGAAAAGTTCTGTCATGATGAGAATAGACATATAGGAAGTGGGATTTTATATTAAAAAATATGGGAATATTGTAAAACTACTACCGTTTTATATAAGAGTTGAACCTATCATATTGTAATACTATTTTGAAACTAATAGATTTTATTAGGGCATTGGTTTGAAATGAAACAGAAATATACAGCTCTTTACTTTTTGTCATCATCAACAGCCTTTACTAGTCCACTGCTGGACATAGGCACTTTTTATATATGTATAGAATTGTAATTAGTCATATCATAAGATAGCAGGTCACAAAAACTGATATTAACTCAGTGTACAAGTGGTTTAAGTATCTATTCAGTGAATGAAAAAGGTAATATTGCAAAGACCATAGTTATTTTAAGTTGTAATCTTTTAAATGTATAAGAAATCAATGTGTGTTTTAAGTCTACATTGTCGAATTTAACTTTCTTCTTCAGCAATACTTGCTTATATATACCAATGAACTATTTATTAACATATAATATATACTTACCACTTAAAAGTCCAACAAAAACACAATTCGACACCATTGACAAAACTGTAATTACTAGAAATTTTTATCACCCATGCACATTAAAAAAAAAAAGATTTGTTGTTGTTTTTCTATCAGGCCTTGAGGCTTGAGAACTACAAAATAGACTGCAATAAAGATATCGCTGAGTTCGGTATACAAGAAATTGTTATCTACACGGCCGTATTATCGTCGCGAAATCACAAAGAAACAAAAGGTATTACAATGACACTTTATCAGTCACCCTTTGGCGCAGTTCGACGGACCTAAATAATTTAATTTCTGAATCAATTTGTCCGTCGCACACTAAAACGTGTCTATTGTGATGATGACTAACCGCTTATGCCCGTATCACATCGTTTCCTTCGCCTCGGACGATTAAAAAATTACCTATAGACGCCCTCATCAGAATCAGCTGTACGTCATAAAAGCACTAGATGTAGGCCTCCCCGCGATTGCCTACTTGTGCATTTGACTACCGTGGCAAATAATGCATATTTTCTTCTCTTTTCATGAGCACTTTCAACAGTATTCGATAAAATGACGCATTTACTTGATTATAAGGATATGAAAGACGTACCCTCCCTGTTATTATACCGCTGTTATGCACTTTTTCTTTGGCGACAAATCCTCACAAGGCCGCCGTGTCGCCGAATATATCATTAATTACACTCTCTTAAGAATAAAATCACTAATTTTAAATGCTAAACTGGAAAATCTAGCACAGAAATGCAAAACGACCACGAACAAACATGGAAGCGAGAGAGCGAGCAAGACGTTTCATTTCACAAAAACTGTCTATGGTTTGGGTATACGTCATTATTAAAAACCCAGTTCATTGTTTATGAAAATTAAAAAAAACTATTTTATTTGGGAAACTAAAAACAGACTAGGAATTAGTTCTATAAGTTAATTTATTAATATTCTTTTAATATAAGCAATAACTTGAGTACTTAATATAACTAGTAAATGACGTAGATCGAAGATTCTGTTGTGGCATACAATCTGTGATAGATTTATCATCAGTCAGTCAAGCAAGACTATGTGACTATGTGTCTCTGGAGACCTAGCGAAATCTATAACCATTTTACAAGTATTTACAACACTATTTCATTTATTCTAGATGGCGACGCACTCTATGGTTAATAAATATTCTTCTTTTATCATGTAACAAAACTGTGTATTAATATTTAGTATATTTTTTTATATTTGTTTTATTTGATCCTTTACTTTTTGCGTCATCATTCTCCTTTAAATTTTTTATTGTCCCAGAAACATCTCTGTTTTCCATGTAAAGACACCAACAGTACAATAAAAAATAGTTTTAGGTCAAACAAAGTTTGTTAGTGAGCAAATATTGAAAAGGAACCTCGGATTTCTTGTAATATAACAAATTAGAAAAGAGAGACAGGGTCTAATTTCTCCAAGTATTTCTACTATGGGTAGTTTCTCTTCAATGATATAGTTGTCTATGAACTGAAAGTCGGATCTGTCACTGTGAGTACTGAGTGTCACTTTTGGCATCGGCGCAATAAATTTCATTTTTGCGTTTTACACGCGGTATTAATAAATAAACACACCATACCAATACAAAGGTTGGTATAGAAATTTTGAAAAATGAAGATAACCCGGTATAAAAAAGTACAAAAATATTTAAAATTCTATTACAATAATTACGGTTTCCATCAGCCGTACCAAGTTTTGATCGATGGTACTTTTTGTTTTGCAGCATTTAAAGTAAGTTTTCTCCTTTCTAAACGTACTAAAATAATATAATATGTACATGCATAGATGTATAAAAGACATGGAGAAGACTTAGTTTTAATTACTGCTGAGGGAACAAGATTTTCTATGCCAAAATATCTCTAATCAAATAATGTCTCCAGGGATGGACAGTAAATATCGTCGCAACGGTCGCTTGATCGACATAGTGGATGAGGAATGGCGGTCGGAGCAACTTCCTCATGAGGACATCCAGGTCCCGGTAGAGGAGCTGCCAGATCCCGAGGCTGACAGTGCTGACTCCCATCTCACGCTCAAAGAGCAAAGCATGCGTTGGCAAGAAAATTTCCCTGAGCCAGCTAGCAGTAATTAAAACTAGGTCAGTCATATCGTAGTAGACTTAAAACCCCAACCTAGTTTGAGAAAAAGGGCTAGGCTGAGGAAGAAGCTCTAGCTGAGGTTACCGGAGCCCAAATCCCCCTTCCTGCTGACTTAAGAGGAGGGTGTCCAAGGGCAGCAACACTTGTGACTTCTGAGTTGTAGGTGTATGAGTGGCGGTAGCCACCTTATAACATAAAAAAAAACATAAACGTTGATACAGTGGTAGTGTAATAGCCAAGATGCATGTTTACTGTCAAAGTGTTACAAAAGTTTGAATCCATTCATGACAAATATGTATACCGTAACTTGAAGTTGACCAAATTTCATACATAGTTTTGAAAGTAGCACAAGCATACAGCATTAACTGACTAACTAATAACTCACATAGCGCTTATGGATTGCAAAAAAATCGTCATCGTTGTAAATAATAATAATTGTCTTCTGTGTTGATATAGGTTATATTATATTCTAACCATGGGTTGGGCTGCTGTATGGATTATCCCCCAATATGTGCAACTAAAAGAATAATGTGCTAAATGTGATATATTGTCATTTTAAAGGCAATTGTAAGTGACACAATTAATAATAAAGAGTTGTCCAACCATTTAATTTCATGACAGGCCTGTTGTTCCAGTGGTTAGTGACCCTGACCGCTAAACCAGAGGTCGTGTTAGTTTTCAAGGGTACTGTCGTGTTGGTTTTCAAGGGCTGCCATGCCAAATCCGCTTTAGTCTTCGCTTCTCAATTACCGCCTTTTTCATTTTTATAGTCAGTCCTGCAGGCATCCACAGCAGGAGTATTGAGCCATCAGGCTTCCTGAATCAAAGATGTGATGTATTTAGTGGCATCTTCAATATCATCCTGTGTCTTGAGACATAGTTTTAGTTCTATATTTTCTTGGATAAAGATTCTACTAATGTTGTACTAACTGTGACTATTACAGGAGTGTGTTCTGAAGAGACATCATATCAAGGTTTAGTTTTTATGTAGTGCCTACAAAATCAGTTCAATATAAAAAGTCACTGGCCGTTTGATCCGTTGGCCAGTTTGAGGGTTTGCGGGAGGAATAAGCTGCCAGATCATTTTTGTCTATAAGCTTTTAATTGGCGTCCTCTAATATTGGTTAATCTGGATGCCCAGTATTTATTCTTTGCATTCCAGGCCTCTCCCACTATAAAACAATTTCCAAGGGTACCAAAAAAGTCAGAAAACCTGGGTTCCTTGTTTTTATGTTTAGGTTGATTCCCCCTCTAACATAACCATAAAAAAAGGTGGGCAATACACTGGAAACGTTGAAGTCTCCAGATTTATTGTGCACAGCAATAGTAGTGGCTTGTATTTCTTCACTTTTATGGTGTGGCATCTGGTGGTGCTTTATGGTCTTTTTTATGATCACAGCAGTTCCGGTATAGGGCTTTCTGTCAGGGTGATTTGTGTTATAGCATAAGTGATCCACAAACTTAACCAATGACGTGGCAGTGCAGTGGGCCTCTGTTTCTAGTAGGATATCTAGTTTATGTAGTGCAATGAGTAACTCTGCTTCTTGTTAATGTGCAGTTATTTTGTCAGCTTATCAACTAGTTTTGTAAGGTGATTTCGAACTTTTCAGTCTGTTTTGTTAGTTTATCATCTAGTGTCTTGTTTTTTTGTCATGGGTTATAAGTGTTGAGGCTGGCATGACTAGCATATTTGTTGAGTGGTTTCTGTTTCAAGGTTTCAGCATATGACAATCGTCTTGGTTTCTTTTGGAAGATTCTGTAATGACGTTCTGATTATATTCATTATTCTATGGGATGTTTAATGTTAATTTTCTTTCTAAGTTAAATGGGTTTGTGTTTTTGTGTTGTCTTCTTGCCGTGATTTCTTTATAGACTCCGCATCTTTTATAGTTGGCAGGGTGAAGTCCACCGCATGAGTGCTTCGGTCAAGTCTTTGGCATTGGCAATGCTAAAAACGTGACCACTAAACGTGAATCTCATAATTGCCCGCATTTCACACATTTATATGGGCGCATACAATCGTTCTTAGTATGGCCATACTGTTGGCATCGATGGCATTGGACTATTGTTTTTCTTTTCTATGGTCCCTCTATGGTGACTGATTGATGGTAAATATATTTCAGGTCTTTCATAGCTTTGTTGTTGGGACCGACTTCGAGGTTAACCAAAAAACGTTTATGCATACTTTTTTTCAGGACCGTATCTGGCAATGATTATCTCGCCAATTACCGTATTTCCTGTCGCTTCTATGTCCTCTTTAAGTGTAACGGTGTTGATGGGTGCAATTTTTTTATGATAAAAGACCTCTAAGGTCTTTTATCTTTCCTGCGAAAAGTGTGGCCAATTAGGTCCTTCTCTCTTATTTTGGAGATAAGTTTTTAATAGGATTCAATGTCGATAGTGGTAATCCTTAGTTGTGTTTTATTAACTATTCTTTATGTGAATTGATCTTTTGTCACTACTGTTGTCAAAAGGTCACCGAATTCCTTTACGTCCTCAATCCCATAAAGGATAATTAATTGGGTAAAGGTAATTACTGGGTCTTATCGGTTTTTCGGAGTCGACGGTTATATCAATTGGTAGCCCAGTAAAACGGTGTGATGTTTCAGTTGTCTCTGCTGGCGGACTAGTAGAACGTTTTCTCTTCTTGTTTTTGGTGAACTGCTTGGAATAATTGGTATTGCTCCCTCTTCATTTGGCATCTCTTTTCCAGATTCCTGGGTCCTACTATTCCCTACAGATGCAGAATTGGGTCTCGTAAGAAACAGCCCAGCATGGAATGCATGCTGCACTAAAATTCTGCTCTCAGCATTCACTTTGGATAAGCGACTGGCATTATCCTTTCTTTTTTATTATGTATAAGCGAAATTAAGCCCCCCCTCCCCTCCCCACTTCCAGATACGATGGGGCTACCCTCCCAGGGTAGTCTAGTTTTTAACTCCTTTCATGTTATCCATATCTCCCACAACTCCAAGGCTCGCTTTAGCCTTTTCCAGCCAGTCGCCCAGCTGGGGGTATTGTTATACCGCCATTGCTCTGTCGCCAGAGCCTCGTTAGTTATCTGGCAGGGGGTACCACGGTGGTAATAGACAATACCACCGCCGCCCTAAGGCGCGTGCAAGTGAGGTTGACACTAGGGCCGGATAGGATGTAGGTTCCGTTCTCCCCTTACTATTATAGATAGATTACACACATACAGAACAAATTATTGTGCTCATCACGGAAATAGAACCCACAACCTCTAGCTTAGCAGTCCCAAGTCATTAACCACTAGACGAACTACCCAGTCGAGTAAAGCAGTACTTGTTATTAATTATTATATCATTATTAAATTCCAGGAACAAATAAATATAAGAGAACAAATCCCAAAATATTTAAACTCCCAAACAAAACTGTTAACAACAAGATGCATAATTATAGAAACGGAAAAACTGGCAAAGAAGACTCACGGAGCCCTCACTATTCTAAAACAATATGGAATACATGAATGTAACCATAAGGAACCAATTGGAGGTTCTAATTGCATATTGTCTATGATTGGAAAAAGGAACGATAAACATTATATACTGGCTACACAAGATAGGGATTTGCAAGATAACTTTAGAGAAAAGGCTGGTGTCCCGTTACTATATTTACATAACAAATCCCCCACATTAGAAAAACCTTCTAAAGCCAGTTATTCAAAAGCAGGACAGAGTTTACAAGACGTATTTATAACAGAAACACAGAAAGAAGCTTTGGAATCTATGAAAAAAGTGTTTGGCATAGAAGAGAATGTAGAAGAACCAAAAGCTCCAATTAAGAAAAAGAAACCTCACAATCCTAATCCTTTGTCTTGTAAAAAGAAGAAAAAGAAGAAAGCTGGCAATAATAATAAAGTGCAAAAAGATAATGTTAGTGAAGGCAAAGTAAGAAAGAGAAGGAAAAAGAAACTGCCACAATATGTAAAAGAGCAGTTGAAGAGTGCTGTCAATAATGGTTAATATAAGTAATGCTTTAATTTATTAAATGACTTTTATTTTGGTAACTTCTTTAAAAAAAGGACATGGTTTTCAATTCAGCTATATTTTTTGTTACCTCACAACACTTATTTAAAAATAATATTTCGGACGTTTAACACAAAACGCCATCAAGTTTCAAACTAAGCAAAGCTTGTACTATGAAAGCTAAATTGACTGCTGGAATACTTATATCCTTTTTTTGTAAATACATAGAAAATAATAATATTAATAATCGGTTTCATAATGTATGAAACCAATTTGGAATACTCATTTTTTTTGTAAGGTAAGTATGCAGTATTTTGACCTCTAAAGGTCACCAATCCAAAGTCAAATTCACACGTGAGAGTTAGATATATTGGTTTTGCAGTTACGTCTTATTGTGATTCTTTAATTATTAAATAAAATCAGGATCGTATTTAAAATATGACCGTGACCTTATAAGGACCTTGAAATTCAGATCAGAGTTTACCTATTCATAATCTAGTCTTCACTGAATAGCCAACAAAAAACCCTAAATCTTTTAGCTTATTGCTTGGCTAAAGAAGATAATAATTTTCCTATGGTTTTGACCTTGAATTTGTGACCTTTAGTGGTCAAAATTTGCCTCATCATCATCATCAGCCTATCGCAGTCCACTGCTGGACATAGGCCTCTCCCATTGCACGCCACACGCCACGATTTTGGGCTTCTCGCATCCAGCTCCTGCCAGCCATCTTGCGCAAACCGTCACTCCACCTGGCCTGTGGGCGTCCTACACTACGTTTACCGAGACGCGGTCTCCACTCAAGAACTCGTTTTCCCCAACGGTTGTCGGTTCTGTGGCTAATATAGCCAGCTTCAGCTTGCTGATCCGGTAGGCTATGACTAAATTTGCCTACTGAAGGTCTCAATCCAATTGTATTTTTACTCTTTTCAATTCCGGGCTCATAATGCATCCCTGGCGTATTATTCTGCTGTTCTAGTACTTTTCTAACACCCGGTATGGTGAAAACTTTGTTGTATAAAAAAAACATTTTAAAATAAGAATTTAACGTGAAATTAAACCATATTAAAATATTTAACGCATATATTTTATTTACCACGGAAAGGCCACACCAACTTGAGCCGGTATGCGCCGAACGTGAGTATGTGTATTAGAGGCAAATTCGATAAGTACACCGTGTGAAAATGTGTGATAATGTCGTAGCACTCCTCTGGTTTAAATACTTCTTGGCCGGTTGGGGAATCCTACAATAAGAGTTTTTCATTATTCTGTATTCCACTATTATTCTACAAATATTTTTAGTATTGCGACTTTCTAGCATATTTGTCTTATACCTATTATTCGTTCCACTCAATTCCCAACCTAACGCAATTTTAGTTGGTCTTTCTTTTCAGAGAAAGGAAAAAAACCGAATTCTCTATTGCCATCATCACCTCGCAAAAGAGACGGCGGAATTCCACGCACTCTTACTCGTTCTTTGGACCGTGTGGACAGAACAAAGGCTTTTAGAAAGTGGCGTCTCGTATCAATTAATGTCGTGAGATCAAATATAGAGGACAGTATCTAGAAGATACTATCTTTACGATAGCTTTAATGATGGCACACAGACTACTTTCTTCCAACCGTTACCACACAAGTACTCACCAAAGCAGCTATTGTCGATTGGTAGGAGGTAGCCATTTGGCCTCTCCAGCTATTCCGCAGCACAGTTGCCACAAAAATTGCGACGAGCCCTTTGCTTAGACGCTCTAGTTGTTCTTTTAACTTTGCAAGGGCTTTTAGGACCTAGATGGTATCTTTGTCGTTGAATTTTACGAGGCGGGAGTCGCAAGTCCCCTGAACCTTGGGCATAATGATGCCAGGGCTGCTTCGAATAAACATCGTATGGGTAGGTATCCTCTCACGACTCTGAGGGCCACTGCTAAGCTGCAGTCACCGTAGAAGGTATAAAGTGGGCGTTAGAATCTTTACCCATTAGGCACATAGTTCCCTATAAGTCTCCTAAAGGCAGAGCGCACAGAAATCGTTCATTGTGTTTAGGTTGAATTCTCATTAAATAACTAACTTCTAACCCACAGTCATCAGTCACGTACCAAAAAATTAAATATAGGTACCTCAATAGTGTGTCTGATCATCATCTCTTTGAAGTAGTTCCATAAGGCAATGGGTGGTAGCCAATAGTACCACTTAAAATACCGATGGGAGTCCACATATAAAGTGAGCATTACTGACAGTTTGAATGGGTTGAAGTCCCGTTGCGCTGCATAGTCGATAACCTCCGCTAACAAGCTGACGAGAAAGTTCTTTTCAGATAACGCGAAGTTAGGTATGATTTCCTTTTCAACTAAAAGTTGACCTAGGAAAAAAATAATTTAAAATTAAGCACTTATCTTTCGAAGGCATCTTTACACGATTCCTAATGACTTCTTTTCTCTGAATGAAGGAGTGAGTGCATAGTTTGCCTAATAAAGAAACAAAAACTAAGTTTTGACCCAGCAGAATAGTGATACCCTTTAGCAAGTTAAATGAAATGTATCAAAATTTAATAACAGATATGAGGTTGTCCCACATGTCCATAAAAGAGTTATGTCATTTGGGACAACCTCATATCTGAAGGGTGGGAGAGGGACCAAATAAAAAAAGCCCATGGTATTAATGGATCGTCTCCTGTTGTATCTGTTACATAGAACTTAATTTTCATTACACCCAAAGTTTATAGTTTATATACAGAAACGTACCTAAGAACTTCTTAAGTCCATGTTCCTTATCAGCGTCAGCGTTCGCTATCACTTCTACAACATCTTCTTCATTGAATATGTGCCTTATCACTAGCATAGGGTACTGTTCAAGTCCTGGGAGCAAGAAAGGTGGTGCATCGTTCTCTTTCAAAGAGTGGAAGTACGAAGGGGCAGAGGTTTGATGTTTGAGGGCTGCGTCCGAAGTAATAGGCACGATTGGTGCTGATGCTGCCTTTATTTTCGCCTGTTTCTCTGTAGGTTCTGATATACGCGTGCTTGTTGATGTGTCCGATTGTCGGTCCATAATCGTGTTCATTGTGGAAGAAATTATTAACGTTAACCTTTATACTACAAAATTGACGCAAAATACGAGCAAAACAGAGAAAGATAATCAAGGCAATAATATTATTGTACTCTATGAATGCAGGACTTAAATTGGAAATACTTGACGTCGAACCGTTTTGACGTACGAATTGTACACTTGTCTCAAAAGAGTTTATATTGAATAATCTAGGTTATAGAGGTTTTATTAAAAACGATCGGTTACATTACATATCTGAGTTAAGTTCCCATGTGGAAGATCAACAGAATCCTCGCTACCGTAGGTACATGCACTCATTCATATAGACATTCCAATATTATCTTTGTCAACAGGGATACCACATGCCTATAGCAACTGCTAGCCCGGTTGACGTAGCTCCCTTGGTCAACGTAACAAAAACATTCCTCTCGAGAAACTCAAAAGAGACTTCACTGCAGTTTCAAGCATATTATTTGAACTAACGAGATCTCGGTCTCCTTCAATTATAAATCTTTCAGAAGCAGTGCTGCTCGGACCGGGTTGGTCTCGGTCTCCTTCAATTATAAATCTTTCAGAAGCAGTACTGCTCAGACCGGGTTGGTCACGTGATATGTTTAAGGGCCCACTACATATTTTCTCTTCAGGTTTTTTAAAGATTTGCCGCGTCATACAAGGAACTTTGTTTGATAGATTTAGTACTTTTGTCACCGACTTCGAATCGTTCCTATTATCGGACGACCGGATGGCGTAGTGGTTTGTGTAACGGACTGCTATTCTAAAGGTCGCGGGTTCGATTCCCGCTCAAGTCAAACATTTGTGTGCATGAACATTGGATGTTTGATTTGGTCTGGGTGTTTCTATGTATAATATGTATGTATTTACAAAAAAAAAGTATATATGTATTTATATCAGCTATCTAGTATCCATAGTACAAGCTCTGCTTAGTTTGGGACTAGATGGCGTTGTGTGTATGTGGTACAATATTATATTATTATTATATTATTATGTGGCGTGACCATGTCTTAAAATAAGCTAGTTTAATATGTTAGATTATTTATTTATCAATAATATACACATGTACCTATTAAGAAATATTTTAGTATGTTCATCATATCAGCATTCTGGTTACCATAGCACAGGCTCTGCCTAGTTTGGGATCAGATGGCTATATATACAACTTATTCATTCACAATGTAGCCAGTTCAAGATAAATACAAAATACGCGTGGCTCTTATGGAAGATAGACTTTCTTAAAATATGAATATAGATCAGTTTTGACGACGACCGGATGGCGTAGTGGTTTGCTATTCCAAAGGTCCTGCTGAAGTCAAACATTTGAGTGCATGATTGGTCTGGGTGTTTCTATGTATAATAGGTATGTATTGACAAAAAAAAAAGTATATATGTATTTATATCAGTTGTCTAGTAACGCTGTTAAGTTTGGGACTAGATGGCGTTGCGTGAATGTTCTAGAATATTATTATTAATTATGTCTCAGTCACTGCGAGTTTATGAAGGTCCCGCGGGTGAAAGTTGTCTCTTACTCTGCAGTAATTGCCAATGTATGAGAATATAGGGAAGCCTACTAGAGAGAAATGATTTCACCAACAAAGATAATGGTGCTAATTCTGCTGTTCGAAAACTCTCTTAACTAAAAATTTGTTTAGTCCTGTCAAACAACGTTTCGTATTCTGAAAACGTAGTTCTTGACAGGAATAAACTAATTTTTAGTTTAGTTTTCGAACAACATAATTAGCACCATTATGACCATTATTACTGGAGATCGAATTTCTACCGTTTTGAATCTTGTTTTTATTCATTGACCAATATACACTGTGGCGGTATAGATATCACAAAAAATGAAATAACAGATAACACGGTTCAATATACGTCGGTTAAAATAAAAAATTAGTACGAAAATACAGAAATGCAAATTTAGAACAAACTAAATACAATAAAATAATTTCCGAATTAGAACACCATTGATAACATGAGTCGGTGAACTGTACCTACATGGCAGCGTCGCAATGTCGGCGACATCAAAACGACGCCGCCGCCGCCGCCGCCGCCATTCTTATTACCTACCTACCAATCACTTCACTTGCTTTTAAAAATCTATTTATAAAGAATGCGATTTTATTCACGTGTTTATTTCGTGAATGCTCGACTAGCTTCCGACCCAGCAGTACGCGTCACTCCTTGAAAAAGTAGTTACCTTGGTTGTCTCGTAATCTTTGTACCGCCCTTACAAAAATTCGGCAGTCTGTAGGACATACACGATTGACTCCATACGTGTCCGTAAAGCAAAAGATGCGTTTTGATTTTTCCATAAATTAACATCATAGCAGGATATTCCGCGGCTGTGAAGGTCACTCACGGCATTATGGATGTTGATATCGATAACCCAATAAAATTAAAAGACTGATAATGCACTCAGTTTCACACTACACTACACACAGAACCTAATAGTGACTTTTCAAAATAAAATTAGCAGGACTCCTTACATTACGAAGTCTTGCGCACACGATAACATTAATTGTTCACACCATTGCCGTGTATTATGACGAAAGCAATAAGACTAAACAATTATTACCACAAGAAAACTTCTCTAAACAAATATGTATCTCATAAACAACAACAATATTATTATTACGGTTATTTGTCGTGAGCGCATCTACAAGGATACGGAATAGCATAAGCTCGCCGGTGGCCAAGGGCCGACTGACTGTCCTTACTGGATGAACTAATTAAAAACGCGTGTTGCATCGTGATGACGTAATAATCAACATATTTCGTTCGATTCGGGTGTAGTAAAAGCGGCAACGTGTGATTACCGCGCCGCGTATAAATACAGCTGATCGCCGCCTGAGGTCAATGTATTATGACTGCATGTACACATGATGTTGCAATTTACGAAACACAAAAATGAGTCCTGTGGCTAAACTACTGGATATATTTTGTTCATATTTTGCAAATCGCCTAGAAATTAAGGGTAGAATATGTGGCTTAAGTATTTGTGAAAGGAAATGAAACTCTCTGTATATTAAACTCTTTATACAGAATTTGTGCCATTTCAGGACTTAATTTGAATATGAATTTTGCATACGAAAAAAGGGCACGAAAAGAGATAATAGGGTAGGATATTTTATAAGAAAAAATCTATAGAAATAGGATAAAAAGATGTAGGCAAAAGATAGTCAACTTCAACTTTTGGTTAATGGCTTTGTGGTAGAGTGTAACCACAATTTCGCCAATGTCATGTATTTGAAAGACAAACTGTCAAAATAATACAATAGTTGACTGTCAAATCAAACCACTTTCTATCTGTCAAATGTCACAATGGTACTTTCTTGTTATAAAAAAATCGCTTATTATTTCATAAATTCACATCAACAGCCTTTTATAATCCACTCCTGGGCATAAGCCTCTCCTCAGAAAGGAGGTTTTAGCCTATTATACCACGCCAGACGGGTTGGTATATGGTTGGTTTTTGTCAAATTTTCCTTCTGTTTGCAGTGCTGTTGTCTTACGTAATTCGCTCCCTTAGTCGCCTCTTACGACACGCACGGGATAAATAGGGGTGGTGACACTCTGTATTCTTAATCCATTACCACACGGAGTACATTGCCGTCGGAGCACATTAATTATTACCATAATTTATTATTTCCTGAGGAGTAACTTATATTTGGGTTGCATTTCTTATCGTAACATATAAAACAATATTATACACATTACATAATTTATTTACATTTTAACAATAATTCTACATTCCTTTCAAAGTCTTTTCTATACAACAGCTTTATTTTTCCTTAACTTTCTTTTTTTCTTTTTTGACTTTGTTTTCTTTCTTGCTTTTAGTTTTATGTGATTTCTTAGATTTTCGTTTTTCATCATCGTACTGTTCGTCGTCACTGTCACTTTGGTCGTCGTGTTTTCTACCTTTGTCGTTTTGGTCTCTGTCACTTTCTTCTTCATTCTCTTTTCTTCTAGATTTAGAACTATTTTCTTCACGATTATATCGCATTTTTTCATCATCTTTACTGTTCCTACGATTACTATCATGCACAGTTTTGTCTTTCGTCAGTTTCTTACCCTCTTTATCATCTTCCGTTTCTTCTTTTCGTCTTTTATCGCCACTTCTGGCCTCTCTTTCATCTTTTTGTCCTTTGTCATCCTTTTGTTCTCTGCTATTTTTCTGTACATCTTTTCGAACCCTGTCGTCTTTATTATCACCTTTGTGTGCCCTAACATCTTCCCTTGTTCCCCTTTCTTCTCGTCTATATGCCCTATCATCTTCTCTTGTTCCCTTTTCTTCTCGTCTATATGCTCTATCATCTTCTCTTGCTCCTTTTTCTTCTCGTCTATCTGCTCTATCATCGTCTTTTGCTCCTTTTTCTTCTCGCCTATGTGCCCTATCATCTTCTCTTGTTCCCTTTTCTTCTTGTCTATCTGCTCTATCATCTTCTTTTGCTCCTTTTTCTTCTCGTCTATGTGCCCTATCATCTTCTCTTGTTCCCTTGTCTTCTCGTCTATATGCTCTATCATCTTCTTTTGCTCCTTTTTCTTCTCGTCTATGTGCCCTATCATCTTCTCTTGTTCCCTTTTCTTCTCGTCTATATGCTCTATCATCTTCTCTTGTTCCCCTTTCTTCTCGTCTATGTGCCCTATCATCTTCCCTTGTTCTCCTTTCTTCTCGTCTATATGCTCTATCATCTTCTCTTACTCCTCTTTCTATTCGTCTTTGCCTAATCCTCTCATCATCAATAGCATCATCTTTTTTATTTTTTTCTGTACCTTTTGAAACTTTATCATCTCTGTGTGTTTTATCAACTTGTCTTCCTCTGTCGTCTTTTCTTAAACTTTCTCTGTCATCACTTCTGGGTATTCTTTGATCATAATATCTGGTATGACGATCTTCATCTCTACGTAACCTGTCTTCATCGTTATGGTTTCGAACATCTTCACGAAACTCTTTACGATCCCTTTCATTATAGCGGCTTCTTTTGTCACCTTTGCGGCCTTTTTCATCATCACCATAATGATCTCTGCCGTCATCTCTCTGTTGCCTTTCATCATCCATACGCTGTCTATAGTCATCTCTACTTCTGTTACGTCTAAAATCATCATTTTCTTTTTCCAGATGCTCACTTCTCCGGTCTCTATCGTGATCATTATTTCTTTGGTCATTTCTTCTGTCTCGAGATCGTGTTATATCTTCTCTATCTCGCTTATCAGGTCTAGACTCCATTCTTCTAGCGTCTTGCCCATATGTGTCATAGAAACCATCGTGTCCCCATCTTTCATCCTTCTCTTTAGCAACCGCTTCTGCCAGCGTTGGTTGTTCCTTTTCTTTCTTTTTCTTTTTAGATTTGTCTTTTTTCCTTTTAGAATTGACACTTTCCTCGTCTGCAAGTAAAGATAACATATCAATAATGCATAATATATTTACGAATATTTTATCAAATGACTTAAAAAACATATACCATATTTGGCCACAAATGGCTTAGGTGTACCATGGCTTGAATTATCCTTAGTACACCTAAGCCATTTGTTATGGAGGTATATTTTTTCTTAATAATATAGTAGGGGACAAATTAGCAGACTGATCACCTCAAAGTAAGTGTCCACGATAGGAAACCTGCAACTAAGAATCAAATTGCGTTGACAGCCTTTCAGGTCGGAGTACACTCTTTGTGTTGCTCAATTGGTTAAAAAATAAGGGCATATGCTAGCGAAAATTAACCTAGAAGATGACAAAATAGGATATCAAAGTTTTCGAGGATACTTATTTTTGGGTTTCATTTTCAAACAACGACACAATACCGTTTGTCGTAAGTTAACGGTATATATAATCTATATTACAAAATAATTTTGAACTTATATTTCAATAAAATAAATGATATTTACCACTAGAGTTAGAATCGCTTGAAGATGAAGAGTCTGAACTAGAACTGCTGGAGTCTGAGCTGGAATCTGAACTGGACTCACTATCTATCTTGATCTCTGTCAACGGTGGTGGTACATTCTGAAAAAAAAAAACAATTTAATTAATGATTAGTCCAGAACATCACAGATAAGCATAGTGAACGAGGTAGCCACTTTCTGATCTGTGTTAAATGAGGATTTATCTCGAGCTTTGACGATTCCATAAACACGTAAATCCTTGTGATTGAGTTGTCTGTAAAACTACATAGTACATTATCTACTTACACTATTTACTGCTTTTCTATTAGTATAATCTGTGGTGAATAACATATCAACAAGAATATAACAAATTTTATTTGCTTTTGTGTGTGTGTGTTTATATGAATATACAGCAATATCAAAAACTTCGTTTTCTTTTAAACTACCTTAAAAACACCTTACCAAAATATCACCTTATCCTGGTCAGAGGACCTTCCATTGTATTGGACAGACAAAACACCGAACACCATTGACGGCCAACTAAAGTTTAATTATGCAATCCAGCATTATAGATTGCACACTTTATTGTTTGTTTTGGTTACATGACGCTGCTATCCCAACAAGTTCAAAGAGTTTTATTTATGATATACTAGTGATGCGCCCTGGCTTCATAATGGTATGACATCAAATTACAAGTCTTTTGTATTCTCGAATTTATTCTACTATAATATGAATGAACAAATTCCCAACTCTATTTTATAACCCCATTTAATCACTTAAAAGTAGTTTTGAAAAGTAAAAAAACAGGTGTCTAATTATTATTATTTTTGATAAAGTAAATAATTATACTGAGAGTTTGGAATGGATATTAGTTAAAAATTACAGTTCCCCATACAAACATGCACCCCTTTTAAGGTTATTAAGGTTTTGAAAATTAGTAACAATGCTTTTTTATTACTTTTAATAAAGAGTATTTACTGTGAGTTTGAAAATGCTACTACCAATACGAATAATAGCGATATATGAAGTTTCATATAAATAGCCAACCCACATTTTGCACACTTAAGGATAGAATTTTTAAACATTCTTAGTGCTACATCAGCTAGACCCAGCAGTTTCAGCTGTGCGTTGATCGATCAGTCAGTGAATCAGTCCGTCAGTTCCTTTTTTTATATATTTATTATTATTTTATATATTTATTTATATATTTTTAGATTTTTAGTACATTATCTCTGAGTGCTATAGATTACTTTTTACCGCAATACACACAGGCGGAGTCACGGGCAAAAGCTAGTTTGAAATAAGCATAATTACCTTAGGCATTTGTTTCAAATGCTCTCTCAGCTCATCTGTGAGACCTCCCAAACCGATAGAGGTAAAGAAATTGATAGAAAATCTTGTGTTTTTGGGGTTGTCTCTAGGGAATAGGCCGGAGAAAGCATCCTGCAGGGTCCTGAAACAGAAAGAGAGGGTTCCTAATAACATTGGGTAGCTTAATATCAATTTTTTAATACTTGGACATTGCATTTCATTAAAAAATTGGTTGCCTGTAAAGTCGGTATACGGGCGAAAGTTTTACGTGACAACGACTTTGAGTGGTAAAATAATTTTAATGTGAATATTCATTCGTATAGTAGGAAGAAGGATGAAATAATAGTAACAATTTAAAACATTTATTTATACAAAGAATTATATTTAAAACATTAATTTATACAAAGAATCTCGCACTGAATTTCATATTAACAAAATTTTATTTATGTCTGTCTCTCTCGCTCTTAGGCGGGCTAACCATGCCCGAGTGGAAGGGACGCGTGCCTCTCACTCGCTCTCATTGTGAGCGCATAACGTGAGCGGAGCGTAACGCAGTTTCTTGAAGTGTCACCCGGCAAACCAATTTATAAGACGTTGTCACGTCAAAATAATAACTGCATTAAAGTCCCACTTTGAGATAAAGTTAAGAAAAGAAGCCTTTGAACCTAAAATACAAAAATCAAACGATAGTTAACTCACGGGTCTTTCAGCCGGTCATTCAACTTCTTCAACCCCATGTACTCTGCAAGCTCTTGAAACAATATCTTTATATAAATACGACTGGAACTTGTTGTATCCTCTTCATTCAACTTTACACAATCTAGTACTTCCCAACTTATTGAGTCTGTAAACAACAAATGTGCAAAGAACTTGCTAACATTCCTTAGTCTATTGGTATCCAACCTATGTGCAGTAGCATATGAATCTTTGAAAATCTCCTCAAAAGGACCAATGTAGATACGGTTTATGTTGCAGAACCGCTGAGCAAGTAATCCGTAGAACTTCTCGTATGTCCTCTGTTCAGCACAGCAATCTAAAAACATGTGACACAGTTCCACCTCTTGACCAGGTTTTAACTGCATCTTCATAAGTTTATGCGCACATTCTTCAAAGTCTAAACTCGAGTTAATAGTCAGGTATATCGTTCTGCGTAATGCTACAAGATTTGTCTCTGTATTGTCAATTATTGTAACTTCTTTTTGTTCAGATTCTTCATCTTCTTCGTCTTCATCCTCACTACCACTTTCTCCAGTACTACCTTCTTCGCCTGATTCAGCATCAGAGCCTAATATTTCCTTACTCAAGGTTTTATACTTTTGTTCGTTCTCTTCATACTTGTCATCAAATTTGAATACATCTGGAATAAATTGGCATAGATTAGCTTATTTAATTTTTTCAATTGATCAACGCGTGTGACTTCTGAGTTGCAGACATTTGACGTCAGACCCGTCTGCTCGTCTGACCCTCCAACATAAAAAAAAAAACATCTCCCAACTATCATCTAAAATAGTAATCTAAAGAGTAACTCTCAACAGCCTTCTAATTATCATTTAAATTATGTTTGTATTTTTACTAGTTCCATACTTTTATTGTTAAACATCATCTTCCTCTAATTCAATGCATTTGGACTGCACGGATGGCGTAGTGGTTTAAACGGTCGCCACACCGCTTCCTATTGCGCTGAGTGCTATGGGCTCGATCCTCACATGAGACACCAGTTTGTGTGATCCATGAATTGTGGTTCTGAGTCAGGGTGTTCTTTGTGTCCGTTTAATGTATGTTTGTAAACTCCCTCCCGACATAGGATAAATTTTCCTAATGCGGGAGTTGTCTTTTAAAAAATGAATAAAATTTAAAATAATGCTACTCTAACTTTCTTATTTCTTCCGTAAACCAACCTGTCATGAGTTGTATAGTAGGCTGTAGGTTAAAGGCTGTTGATGATGACTACCTGGATGACAAATGTCCAAAGAGACATAAGGGACTTAAGCCTGTCCGCTTACCAGTTACAATGCTTACCAGATAAATGTATGGCTAAATTTAGCGGGAATCGAACCAGCAAACTTTGGAATTAGCAGTCCGTTACACAAACCACTACGCCATCCAGTCTTCAAATATGCACGTGCTTTTTTTTATAGAAGAGAGGGCAAATGAGCCTTTAAAAACTTTTGATTAGATCAGTACATTAAGTTAATAAAGAAATATGCTTACTCAGGATGTCCTGTGGATCCGTAGCATCATCCAACATCAATAGATGTGTAAACTGTTCCTCTTCAGGGACTAATTCCAGCTCTTCTATCAGTGATGGATGGTCTTTGAACCCATCTTTCCACACTTGGAACATGACTTCTATCATGTATTGCACTCTCTTATCCAGTTGACCCTCATGAAGAATGTTTCTTAACATTTCAAATATAGCATTTACACCTTTAGAAGACACCTCAGTGAGTTTTTGTCCACATTCCTTGAGAAATGCTATCGCCACTTCAACAGAATCATCAGTTGGTGTCTCAACGAGTAATGTAAGTAGTTCTAATGCTAGAATTTCATGTGCCACTCGTTGGTTCACAAGATGAGCTATGAAAGAGGCTGATGATATGCATGTAGGTTTATCATTGCGCTTAAAACCTCTTTTAAACTGGATAACTAACCTCTTGAGAAGCAGTTCACCAATATTAGGAAAACGGGAGTTAACAGCTGCTACTAAAGCAGCATAAACATTAGTGAATGTGGGAGATGCAGCTTGAGCTTGTATGATTGACCTACATAATAAACCTCTTCCACGGACAATATTCTCTTTGAGAAGCTCCTTGATTATAATTCCAATGTTGCCTACGTTGATCTTATTGATGTGACCATGTATTGATTTCTTTAGAGCTTCCCAGGCAAGTCTCTGATATGCCGCCGAGGTTTTGTCCGTAATTTGAGCTTGCATCATCTTAAGTTTTGCGGGCGGTATATAAGCCCCACCGGTTCGTGTGTTTAACATATCTGTTTCCCTTGCACGACGCACCGGTGCTTCTTTTTTCACTTCAGGTTCTCTTTCAAATCTGTCCTGTTTTACTGAAACTTGAGGTGATTTTGACCTGGAATGTTTACGCTTACGTCGAGAATCTTTTTCACGACTTTGCACAGGAGATCTAGACCTGGTTCGTGCTCTTTTTGACTTCTTATCTCTGCGTTTCTCTACCTCATCATCGCTGTGTTTATCTTTCCTCCGTTTACTTTCTTTACTTGAATCCATTTTGTTCTAACTTTCAGTTACGATTACAAATTATTTTGATAATACCACAGAATAAACAATAACGTATATTACTAAGTAAGATTCACATATGAATAACGCAAAACATTACCATCTGCTGAAACGCAAAACTTGATGGCGCCACAGGATGGCGAGACGACCATCTTTGTTATCATAGAGAAACGTTAAAGTTCTTTGACATGTAATGTTTTTATTAATGCCTATCATTTTGAGACGGAGTCTCTTGAGATACACAGGTTTTTGAAATTGTTTTGTAAACTTATGTGAAAATGAGTCCGATGTGCTTTAAATTTAATCATAGGTGTGCTGTAGAAATGAAGAAATTATAAATCTAAAGTACGTGAAACCAAAATCATGAATACGTTTATTTGTCTCAATTTGAAATAATTCACCATAGTATCAATTCACAAGATTATGTCTAATCATCTAATGTTAATTTTAACACCCTACATAAATGGAAGTTAAAAGTTTAACGTATGCATTTGTGTCTGTGGCATCATAGCTCTACAGCTTCACTGCTATCTAAAATATATAATATAACAAATAACCTAGCCTGCTAACGAATGCACGTAGTGTGATTCTAGCATTGGAATATTGTAAATAATCTACGGTGCGTATAAAACACAACTGTTGTCGTCAACTCGTCGGGTGGATCTTGTGGATCTAAAAAATTACCCGTGTGTTTTTTCAGCACTGGAGAAAGTTTCTATAAACACAAGGTTTTTAGTGTGACCAGGGTCACACTAAACAAAATGAGTAAAATAGTTCCCTAGGAGGACGCTTTCTAACAGTTTTAATGTTATGTAGGAATATGTAGTTGAGCAGCATATGAGCCAGGAGGTGGATAACAGAACTCTTCAGTAGCTACTGACACCCAGTTCCAGCCCAACATATTAGCTTTGGTACCAATGATCTGATGATAAGACCCTGAGATGGTTAGTAGAACTCTTAAGTTTTGAACCTTGTTTTTCATTATTTTTCATTGACTGCCTTGGTGGGTGCACTCGTAGCGAATGCGACTGCTGTGCTGAGGCCTCGGGTTTGGACCAAATGTTTGTTTAATCTGCATATATTTGTTTCGGAGTTTGGGTGTTTTCTATGTATAATATTACAAAAAAAGTATTCGATTATTCTATCAGTCGATCTAGCTTACATAGCTTCAGTTAATCAAGCTCTGCTTAGTTTGAAACTAGTTGGCGTTGTGTGCCAGATGTCCAAAAATATTATTTTTAGATTATTTTTTAAATTTTAACTATAGATTGTTAGAACTAAAAAAAGAATCTATTTCTGTTGGATCTGGGCCAATTTCTCAAAAGCAATAAAGGTACAGACACTTTTATTGCTTTTGAGAAAACTATAAACAAGTTTGTGACACAGAATAATTGACTATTCTAGTACGTACTAATGGGTAGAGATGGGCGTTTTCGTTAAATTTTGTCATCGACGCGCATCGTTAAAGTGAACCGCATCCGATGCCGGCATTGTTTTTTCTGGCATCGATTTGATTTTGCGATTTTCGATTAGGCAAAATTAGTTGTCTTAGCCGGCAACTAATTTTGCCTAATCGCAAAATCAAATCGATCTATCTATGTATCTGCGTATGAATATTAGATAGGTACTCGGTAACGTTGCCTTATTGAAATCATTTGATACCTATTTTATAACTTTGTAAATTATTTAGATACGATATTCAACATTACGACTTCTACTGGTAAAAAGTATAGAGTTTATAGAATAAACATTAGTTAAATCATATTAGTCTTTACTTTTAACAAAATCAAGAGTTGACATTAAGAAAAACCAATTTTTCTAATTTGGAACTTGAAGTTCTTCGTTCATTCAAAATATACCCGGCTTTGGAGAATATCCGTCCGCATGGCACAGAAGTTATCACAATATTACACCTCGAACGGTATATTTCTGCCAACGTCAGGTATATTTTGGAATGACGGAGCCACCATTCAGTGTGATCGCTCCACACAGTTTTGCCGGGCCCAAAATTTCGTCCTACAAGTACAACCGCATCTATCATCAAATCAATGCTTCGACTTGTCATCGCCCCGTTTTCCGTTTCGTAGTCATCTGGCGACTCTCGCTCGCTCGCATTCGGTGAAGTTCGCATCGGATGTTGCGGGCATCCGTTTTTCAATATATCGGCATCGGATGCCGACATCGTGCACTGGCATCGATGCTTAAAAACGACCATCTCTACTAATGGGACAAAAAAGAATACAAAAAAAAAAAGAATACACCCACATTGTTAGTAAAATATACATCATTGTGAATCTTTACACCACCTGTGTGACCATTATTGATATAGTGGGTACACCCAATTCTCTTTTATCTCTTTACAAGCATTTTTTTAATAAGATATCGAGATTATTATACGTAAAACTGTCTAAATAACTATAACTGATCATTTGGCACTGCAAAAAGAAGGAAAACTTGACTAACCCCCCCGAAACCCTATACTAACCCGTCTGGCCAGCGTCGTATAGTAGGCCAAATCCTCCTTCTAAGGAGAGGCCTATGTCCAGCAGTGGACTATTAAAGGTTGTTGATGGTGTGCGTTACCCCAGCAAAATAATGTCGAAAATGGTCATTTAAACTTTATAGATAATTAGTTGCTCCCCTTCTGTAATTGTTAAGCACATTTTTAAATTTGTTTCACTTAAACTTTTTTAGTTATTTCAAAAAAACATTTCCTGCTGGAGTAACGTTTGAAACGTTACCGCAGCCAGACATTTTCTTTTTTAATTGTAATATTGAAATAAATTTTAGCTAAATAATTAGTTATCTGGACTAGGTAAATGTTACAACTTATTTGGTATTTGTATTTTCTTCGGCTGTGAAGTTATTCGAAATCCTGCTGGAGTAACGTTTGTGGGTTTGCTGGATCTCTGAAACGGGTAAGCGGATTGTAACCATCTTTTGTACATAACTTCTTAAGGATTAGTTTTAATTTGTTCGACAATAAAATAACAAAAATAATGGACCGTTTAAAAATTATTTAGGTAAGTATGAAAACACTTCAATACGTCCTAACACTTTAAATAAGACCTCTAAAGACTTACTTGAAACGTTATTGTATTGCTTGTTACTACCTTCAAATGTATACGAATTTTCGTAAGAATACTGTAAGTGACTAAAAAGTTATGATGAAATGTAGCTCTCCACGTTCACGATCACAATGTGTGCGGCCTTTTTTGGCCACCGATAAACCTGTGTGTGGATATATAAACTGAATGTTATGCCAATAATTAGTTGTTTAGTTCAGTTGTCTACCTGTAAAATTTCAGCGTAGTACATATAATAATTTACGAGATAATTAAATAAAAGTGATTAGAAGGTGCAAGACCGTGGTAACCCGACCATGTTTAGGTGGTTACAAAAAAGCGATCACCCAGTACATTGTGCTGGCTTTTAAAATGTTTAGTGTAATACACCTTACGATTTCGGTACAGTTGCGTACAGTGTTAAATACATTCAATATTTATTCATTATTATTACCTATTATTTATTTTGTTTTTTTCCCTAATTGATCTTAAGCACTAGTTTCTTTACTTAAAATTTATTTAGTCTTTTTACTACCGGAGCTACAATCAACAGAAAATCTGCACTGGTCCGCTAAAATTATAAATATGTAGATACATGTATGAACGATTCACCTGACTGCAATAAAACGAAAATTTAAACCAATAAGTCGAAATCGTTTCATTTCTTTCATTTTTTTTGTAAAGAAATAACACTAAAGTAATTGTATTTTATTTTGGGGTGTATAGAGCTTAGACTTGAATGCATCAAAATATTTAAAGACAAGTCATCTACAATAAGTTAAAATAGACCGAATAGTAGAAGAATACTGTTGTAAATTAGAATGCATCAACATTGCATCGCCCAACAGTCGTATACCTCGTAAGAGTAGGTAATATTGTTCTGTGGTCTATACCTAGAACCGAAAATTATCTATACCTATGTACCTACCGTTAAGCGTTGAGCCCGTGACTGTTGATTTCTGTTAAAAACGAACAGTTGTTGAATGATATTTTGATATAATAACGGTAATTTAATTTATCGAGTGAAAGTAATACATTTTTATAGATAAAATTATTGGTCAGATAATGTTTGTCAATCAAGAATCGCTGATAATACATCCTTCGCTAGAACGCGGGAGGGGAGGGGCGAAGAGATACTTCATTGTTTGCAATTTGCATCTAGTGCACTAAACTTGACCCTTAGGCAGATAATATACGTGTTGTAAAGTACGTGTGCGCTTCCGCTTTCTATTTTTGCAAATATTTATCGTATTCTTGAGAGTTCTTCAATATGTGTGTACCTAATTACTAATAATAGGCATTAATGCTAATTCGATTCAATTTAAGTAATTGTCAATTCTTGTCTTAGGATATTAATTACTAATGCTAATATTGAAATTTCGTTCAGGGTGAACAAATTAAAAACGATCATAACTTTTATGTAGGTATATCACTTATTACTAATTTTACATAAATAATTTATTTTATTATAATTTAACTCACCGCGATTTTGTGATCAAATATTTTATTTTCTCCAACATTATTACAGAAATAATGCAATACAGAGTTTGTTCGGGATATGCTAGCCTAAGTCGATTCATCACTTAAAAAAATCCCCATCTATTCAGAAAATACCTATTTACAACGCATACGTTAAGCAGCGTCCACACTATGCCGGGCGAGGCCGAGCGGGCTGACCCGGGCGGCCTAAGCCGGGTTGGTGTGGACGCCCCGGGCGGCTTAAAAAGCCGGCCCGAGCCGAGCCGATCCCAACCCGCAGAAAGTAGGTACAGATTAAAGGATGCCGGCCCGAGCCGAACGAAAATATGTAGTGGGGACGTGCCGAGCGGCACCGGGCGGCTTTAGTTGTCCAGTCTTGGTGTCGAATTGAAACTAATAGGTAGATATAACCCGGGCGGCCTCGTTTTCGGTGTGGACGTCGTGCCGGCCCGAACGAACCCGCCCGGCTTAGGCCGCCCGGGTCAGCCCGCCCGGCCTCGCCCGGCATACTCCGGCATAGTGTGGACGCTGCTTTACACTCTTCAAAACTTATCATTTCATTTCATATTTCTTAAATTACCTATACCTACCCTAAAATTAAACTTCAATTAACAAATACTACGCAGGTACCAATTCTATGAACAACTATAAACAATTCACCTAAACATTACGAGAAAACAAAAGCATTCAAAACAATACCTAATCTCCCGGCTGATTACTAATTATGCAATAAACAATCCTAAATAAAAATTATTTAAAAAACATGTAGTTTTTGTAACACTTATGTACATATCCGTAGTAAACTGGCAAATAATATCCTACATATTTTAAAAGCCAGCACAATGTACTGGGTGATCGCTTTTTTGTAACCACCTAAACATGGTCGGGTTACCACGGTCTTGCACCTTCTAATGACTTTTATTTAATTATCTCGTAAATTATTATATGTACTACGCTGAAATTTTACAGGTAGACAACTGAACTAAACAACTAATTATTGGCATAACATTCAGTTTATATATCCACACACAGGTTTATCGGTGGCCAAAAAAGGCCGCACACATTGTGATCGTGAACGTTGAGAGCTACATTTCATCATAACTTTTTAGTCACTTACAGTATTCTTACGAAAATTCGTATACATTTGAAGGTAGTAACAAGCAATACAATAACGTTTCAAGTAAGTCTTTAGAGGTCTTATTTAAAGTGTTAGGACGTATTGAAGTGTTTTCATACTTACCTAAATAATTTTTAAACGGTCCATTATTTTTGTTATTTTATTGTCGAACAAATTAAAACTAATCCTTAAGAAGTTATGTACAAAAGATGGTTACAATCCGCTTACCCGTTTCAGAGATCCAGCAAACCCACAAACGTTACTCCAGCAGGATTTCGAATAACTTCACAGCCGAAGAAAATACAAATACCAAATAAGTTGTAACATTTACCTAGTCCAGATAACTAATTATTTAGCTAAAATTTATTTCAATATTACAATTAAAAAAAAAAATGTCTGGCTGCGGTAACGTTTCAAACGTTACTCCAGCAGGAAATGTTTTTTTGAAATAACTAAAAAAGTTTAAGTGAAACAAATTTAAAAATGTGCTTAACAATTACAGAAGGGGAGCAACTAATTATCTATAAAGTTTAAATGACCATTTTCGACATTATTTTGCTGGGGTAACGCACACTTGTTGATGAGCCACTAATGGCGCTAAATTGAGTAAATAATTACTTTTAGTGCGTAGTTACTTGTAAAATGAAGATGACACTAGTAAAATAAGCTTTATAGTCACTTAATAATTGTATTTTTTACAAATTTAAGACATGACTCGTTTCTTAGTTTACTATAAATTTCGAATATCTTTTCACGATAATGCCTTCAATTTCTCTCAATCTTGTACCTATGTGTTTCATCATGATGGTATGTTGATTTATCTATAGTTTCTAAGTGGTACAAAAACAAGGTAACATTACTGCAGACTCGTCGTGATAACGGGTTAAATTGGGACGAAAGAATCTGATATAATAAAGGGAAAAAGTATACTTAGTTTTTTTTTTAAAGGTTAATCCTCGCACTAAGCTAAATTGCTTGTGTTAGGAGTGGGTTCACTTCGGTAGTGTACTGGTCAGGATTCGAACCAACGACCTCTTGATTTCAAGTCCAATGCCTTAACCACTAGGCTACCGCCGCTTATTTTGATAGTACTTTGTTTCTGTACAAAAAATAATATAAATAAAATACCACATAATTTATTAGTATTTATGACTTTATTTAATACGACAATGAAACTACAAAAGTTGCCTGCACTTCAAACAGCAATTTTCATATACCTCACAAACTGAAGCACATTAATATAATTTAATCACATAAAATATAAAAACTAACGATAATAACACCATAATAAGAGATAGGAGAATGACTAACATTACGCAAAAATTACGAAAAACACAATATAATAATCGGAAAAGCTATATTGTTGCATCGCATACATGATTCGTCTCGATCGTGAGATTTCTAAAAGGCTATACAATACCCAAGGCAAATTGGTCAGAGGTTTACACTTCTTCACCCAGAAACAAGCTAGTAACTTACAACTAGTTCCTTACTCGTACCAGCGTCAGTAACATAGAACATAAGCAGGCAAGCAGCTCGCCCCGCCAAGCGACGATACATCATCTCTTAACATTATATACAACTATGATCATATCCTCGACGATAAAACAGACCGACGCTAAATGAATGGCAGATATATACTATAAATACAAGGATACTCTCACTTAACGGTCGCGACGCCCCGCGTGTAAAAGCTCGCGCGTCCGGCGTCTCCGCCCTCTACGATTAAAAAAATATAAAACGCTATGAAAGGCAGTTTTACACGTTACATTATTGATATTATCCGAGAGCCGATTACCGAATATATTGAGGCACTTTCGCTGTTAACTAATAAACTATAGTTTCCTATTGTGTCCGATTGAGATCATAAACGAAAGTGACACGTGACAACCCTACTCTGTTAGAATGCGACAGGCGACACACCGCCAGCGCAAGCAAACAATCGCGACACATCTCCCGACGTAAACACAACTCATGAACGTTTTAGTAATGAACAATTAATAGCGTTACGGCGATCACACGTGAATTAAACTTAAATTTAGATTATACCATCCTAAAAATACTGTTGCGTATGATAAACATTAAAAATAATGATATAAATCTATAACTAACGATTAGGGTTAATGATCGCTTCACCGTCTCCATCCTCCGCTTGCTTACGTAACTCATTCGTACATTTGCCGTGGGTTCCGTACAAAAAACGAGCTAGCCTCTGCACCACTAAAAGTGTATGAAAAAATTCAAGTGTCTGGAAATAAGTTTTTATATTTGCGATTTTTAGCTACAGAACCCTGTGTGCAACTGTCCATCTTTTAGTACGCCAATTATAAAATTTGGTTTACAATGTAATCGCGTCTAAGACAGTCAATTAAGTTTACGAAGTAGGCCATAATCATTGGTATTTAAAGTGTACAGCGATGTTGACATTAAAAAAAATATAGAAATTTCGAATTAAGATGCGTAAGCATGATCGAGGGACATTTTTGGTGTCACAAAGTAAGCGCGTCTGGGGTGTAACACAAATATTGTGAGGATGCCGTCCCGTGTGGAATATTTTTAGACAAATATCTTTTTTTTTAATAATTTTTTATCACAATATTTTAATATGTTACAACACCGACGCTGTTTCGGCCGTCTAAATGCCGCCTCCACGTCAAACACCGAGGTACAAATTTGCTACTGGACCAGCCAAAAGACCTTAAAACTATCCTCATAAATTACTATTATTGTAACAATTAGACACATTTGCACCGCAATAAGTGATACTGGCAAGAAATCAATGACTAGTTTTTACAATCGAGTAGTAATTTATGACGTTCTCTCTCATCCCTTGAGCCTCGAAACACTAGTAGCGTCGGTACCAGCCCATTCGGGTCCTCAAAATCCTTTCTGAAAACCTCGAAACTGAACATCAACAAAGATTTAACACTACATAAATGCAAAGAGCGTACTGTACACGCTCGCTAAGCGACCGTCTAACGACGTGCAATTACCGACGATGTGACAACCCTAACAGTATAGTAACACGTGGCAACACTAACTCATACATTAAAGTTTTTTTACACTGGCAACTATTTTTATCCCAGTACACACCCGGTCACGTGATTCGTCAGTGTAACCACAGGGATTTTACACACACAGGAATTTTATTCCACATCATGAGCGATCGCACCGACGACCGCTCGGGCGGTGGGTGTAAAAGTTGCCAGGGTAATAAAACGATAGTTCTAAACAGATGGATGCTATTTTATAGTCGTCTAGCAACGCTACCCGGGTGATCGCGATCGGAGGCCGGTACCACCAGACAAAATGGTGGAATTCGGTCGGAGAAGTTACAGTGGGTCATTCTGAAACGAGGCGCTCGTCCGTGTATGCAGTTAGCGGTGTTGCTGTGGGGTGTGGGTGTGGGGGTGCGGCGCCTAGCCCAAGGTGGCGGGCGCGGCCACGTCCACGCGCGCGCTCTTGTTCTGCCGCACCAGCTCCGCGCGCCGCTCCTGCACGACACCACACATGTTACGGATTGCTCAAGAGTCAACTTAAATACTTTAGTAACAATTTACCCATTTAAACACAAATTAAGAACTGTAACTCACAGATATACACATAAAAAGGTAACATCATTTTTGTCAAGTTGAAAACTTTACTAGAAAAAAATTATGACTATAAAGTTATTCAATACTAGTCGTTCTAAGACGTGTAAGTTACCACTTACGTAGAAGAATGTTGCAAAGATATTAATTTTGAACATTTTAACCACGTGATCATAAACAATTTAAATTTGTAAAAACGTCACATTTCTTTTTTTTTGTTTGCTTTCCAATGTTGACGGACCAACGTGTGACGTCACTTAATTGATTCTACGCCAATTTGTTTTACAGTTTATTTTTGAAATGAATGGTCTTTTTTTTACATAATTATTCATGAATAGACTACAATTATTATTTTTTCTTTTTAAAAAGACAACTCCCGCACTAGGAATAAATCTTGTATCGCGGGGGACTTTACAAACATACATGAAACGGACACAAAATACTAGTAAATTAGTGACACTAAATCTATGAATATACATGCCTCTTGCTGTATTGAAAATCATTATGAAAAGTTGACGTCACAAACCTCCTTTTTGACGAAATCTAGTTTCTTCTGAATTTCCTTCTCCCTATTTTGTTCAGCGGTTGTCAGTTTAGTTTCGATGTCCTTAGTGATTACTTCGACTTTCGCCGTTGCGGCCGAACGAACCTCGGCTAGCTTAATATTCTGCGTTTATGAATGAACAAAAAAATAAAAATAAAATAAAAAAAACATGCATACACCTCATGCTAATGACATAAATAATGAGATGAATTAATGTTTAAGCTCTAGGTTCTTAGGCTGAAAACAGTTCGAAATGGTTTTTGGAATTGCGCATAAAGTCAATTTGGGCAATATAAAAAAAAAATTGTTTGATTTTTTTTGCTCTACAAAAACATTCTGTCTCTCGCAAAATCTATGCCACTGTAGCGTAAAAAAAGCAACAATTTCTTGCCATATTTAAACAAATTTGAGCTGGCGTACTTTGTCCATTCTAATAACCGCTTCAAACCGATTCGCGCAACAACGAGAGTGTCTAATATATCAGACAAGTACAGCCCAGAAGGTGATGGGACACTTACGTGGTTGCGTAGTTTCTCCTTCTGCTCGGCCTCGAGGAGCAGGCGGCGGTCAGCAGCCTGCTGCAGCTTGTCCTGGATGGCGCTCTCGAGCTGCTGGAAGCGCTCCTGGTTGCCTGCACGCACCTTCTTAACCTGCTCCTCCTAATTTAAATACCAAACATTAATATCGAACCTATTTTCAAACAACCGTGCCAGAAAGTCGGGAGTGGTCTTGATTTCAAGGCCTATAAAACTAACTGCTCTAATTTGAACATGGTTACATCCTTAAGCCCATCCTCGTAAAAGCCGACTGAGGCAGCAAACTACGCGAGACAACAATGCGCTGCAAAGAGAAGGAAAACCTAAAACAAACCCTATAATCAACCCGTCTGGCCAACGTGGCATAGTAGGCCAAAACCTCCTTACTATGGGGAGGTCTATGTCAAGCAGTGGTATTAAGGCTGTTGATATGATGACGACATCCTTAAGGAGCTACCAGAAATGCGAAACTTGGCGAGTGCTAAGACGATTATTCGCCGAATAGCAGTTAATGGGGATGGGTGCTTGTTATTTGCCAAGCAACGATCATTAGTGCTCCCCTCACTCGGCTAATTGCCGGTAAGTTTGTCCGCTTCAAAGGAAACGAACACGAATGCTGCCAAAACAACTAGATGTGTGTATAAACATGCTCAGTACTTGGGAGTTACCAAGGACACGTCACTCGGTGATACATCGGCATTCGGCAAATCCCCTCATATCTGGTCGCAGTCATGTCGAGTTCGTTTTCAGATTATAGGGATATTCACTACCTTTAAAGATATGGCTTTAGTGTCTTTAACATTCAATTCTCTCTCAGGCCAAATAATTGTGTTATAAGCGTGATAATTTTGTTCTGTATCTGGGTGTCATCATCATCATCAACAGCCTTTACTAGTCCACTGCTGGACATAGGCCTCTCCTTAGAATCTGGGTGTAATTTATCTATAATATTTGTATTTAATTGAGACGGTCGTCAGTCTGGTTGCCAACAACACGAGCTCTGCCTGCTTTGGGATCAGGTGGCCGTGTGCCTTTCTAGGGTATACCTGGTTCCCCGGCTATTAGTACCCGAGACGGCGTGCGGTTTTAGTCGGTTCCAGTCCGACATGCCACCGATAGGTGGTATCCGAGGGGACTTTCGCACGGGGGAAAAAAAAAAAAAGGTGGCCGTGTGTGGATGTGTCAAGTTATTATTATTATTATTCTCTTTATTTATTTTATATACCTACATATTAATTATATTTTTAAACATACACTTTAAATATAAAAAAAAAACCTTTAAAAATATAAAAAATAATAGACCACCGACATCGGGTACAGGGACCAAGCCACCAGTGGTTAGGACTCTAGAGACAGAAACCTCCTCACAAAACATGCCGTATCCAGAACTGCTTTCTGCATCAGACCCTTAATCCAACTGCCTAACGCTAACCTCTGAAGATGTTGGTCGACGCTCTTAGCAAATAATCCATGGGCCGACATAACTATCGGTACAATGATTGCCGATTGAATTATTATTATTAATCATCATCACATCATCAACAGCCTTTAATAGTCCACTGCTGGACATAGGCCTCTCCTTAGAAAGGAGGTTTTGGCCTACTATAATACGCTGGCCCGACGGGTTGGTACAGGGTTTGTATCAAGTTTTCCTTCTTTTTGCATTGCTGGTGTCCTGCGTATTCTTAATCCGTCACTACACGGACATTATTATTATTATTAATGGTAAGTAATAGTTACATGTTCACGAAGTCGCTCCAGCATCTTTTTAATGTTCTCATCGCGTTTGTCAGCGGCCGTGTTCATCTTCTCCTCGATCGCCTTGTAAACTTCCGCTGTCTGCTGCTCAAGTGTCAACCTGGTGGGAGTCAAGGACAATTGATAAGACACGTTGGTTAAATAAGAATCATCTATCAGTCATCAAGCACTTAGATAATTCTACTTGATCAGTAGATTTAGCAAGATTTGTTTAAAAGCGATAGACCCTCAACCGACGACATTAGAAGCTAAAGTCCAACATCTCGTTATAGTTGTTGGACCATGTACCATAGGTCATATAGAGGATCCGTTAATTCTTTGGCCTTATCTCATTACTAAAGACACCTTAAGAAATATTCCGATCAGCCCAAGTTGCATGTTCTAGAAACAGCGAGCATAAAATAGAGGACAAGTGAATTTCAATGATAAATATAGTTAATTAAAGACTATTGTGTTTCATCATCATCAATAGCCTGTAATAGTCCACTGCTGGACATAGGCCTCTCCTTAGAAAGGAGGTTTTGGCCTACTATACCACGCTGGCCAGACGGGTTGGTATAGGGGTTCAGGATCTCTTCCTGCAAACCATGGCACAGTGGTCGATAGGTGTTGCCGTAGTCGCGGAGCCCTATTCTGTCCCTCCCCGTCCAAACTGGATGGGTGACTGGGACGGCTCCGTGGAAGTCGTCGGTTCCACGACGGCTCATTCCCCGCCCTTGTCGCTAAGAGACAAGGGCACTGGATATGTTGCCGTCGAGTGGGGGGGGATCACCATATATGGTGTCTATTTCTCCCCCAACCGGAGTTTGAACGACTTCGAGGTTTTCCTAACCAGCTTGGAGACCTCGATACGGCGACTAGCGTCTGGGCACGTCCTTGTGCTGGGGGACTTCAACGCAAAGTCCATTGCGTGGGGTTCCCCCAGGACGGACGCAAGGGGCGAGGCCGTAGAGGAGTGGGCGGCCTCGGTGGGCCTCTGTCTTCTCAACAGAGGCTCCACCAACACGTGCGTGCGACAGCAGGGGGGGTCGACAGTGGACCTTTCGTTCGCTACCCCTGCCCTCGCCGCACGAGTAAGGAACTGGCGTGTCCTGGAAGAGGTTGAGACGCTCTCGGATCACCTGTATATCCGATTTGAGCTCTCCCGGACCCAGGACTCCAGTAGGGGTCACGTGGCGCGGCGTTTATCCCGCTTTCCTCGGTGGGCTGTTGCCAGACTGAACCGGGACCTACTAGAGGAGGCAGCCATAATTCACTCGTGGCTGTCTCCTCAGGCTCCGACCGAGGAGGTCGACGTGGGGGCTGGTCGCTTTCGCGATGCGATTACGCATGTATGCGATGCGGCCATGCCCCGCATTCGAGGTCGTCGGCCTCCAAGGAAGGAGGTCTACTGGTGGTCCCAGGAGCTGGCGGACCTCCGTGCGGCCTGTACACGTGCCCGGAGGTCCTACACGCCTGTCGGCGGCGTCACCGTGGAGACGGTGAGGAGGACCGGCTTCATGAGGAGTACCGACAGGCGCGGAAAACTCTGAAGCTGGCCATTAGCCGCGCCAAAGAAGAAAAAAGACAGGAGATGCTGGAGGGTCTTAATCGTGACCCCTGGGGTCGCCCTTACCGCGCGGTGCGACAAAAGCTCCGCGCGTCGGGCCCCCCCCCTTACGGAGACTCTCCAGCCCAGCTTCCTGCGAGAAGTGGTTGAGGGCCTTTTCCCACAACGAGCGGAACACACTCCCCCGGCCATGGCCTCCTTGGCCGGAGAAGACGGGGAGCGGGGGGAGGATAATGTTCCGCCCGTCCGGGATTCGGAGGTAGGGGCGGCTGTTCTACGGATCCGTTCCAAGAACACCGCCCCTGGGCCAGACGGGGTACCGGCCCGAGTGCTGGCCCTGGCCCTCAACCACATGGCAGACCGCCTCGGAGAGGTGTTCGACGCTAGCTTGGCGTCGGGACGCTTCCCTGAGTGCTGGAAAAGCGGGAAGCTGGTCCTATTGAGGAAGCCGGGACGGCCTGCCGATTCGGTCGCGGCCTATAGGCCCATCGTGCTGCTGGACGAGGCGGGCAAATTGTTTGAGAGGGTTCTTTCTGCCCGCATCGTCCGGCACCTCTGCGAGGTGAGCCCCGATCTGTCGGACGCCCAATTTGGTTTTCGGGCGGGGCGTTCGACAGTCGACGCCGTGTTGCGCCTGAGGGCCGTGACCGAAGAGGCCGTGAGCTGTGGCGGCGTGCTGTTGGCGGTGTCATTAGACATCGCCAACGCATTCAATAGTCTGCCATTCAGCTGCATCAGGGAAGCACTCCACTATCATGGGGTGCCAAAGTACCTGAGGCGGCTGGTGGCAGACTATTTAGAGGAGCGTACCGTCGTGTACGAGGACCGAGAAGGTAATTTGAGGAGTCGGCCCATGTCGTGCGGTGTTCCACAGGGGTCTGTTCTTGGACCCCTCTTGTGGAACATAGGGTACGACTGGGCCCTTCGCGCCGATTTCCCCCCCGGGCTGGGTGTAATCTGTTACGCAGACGATACCCTGGTGACAGCCCGGGGGGCAAACTTCCAAGAGGCGGCGCGCCTGGCCACAGGGGGAGTCTCCCTGGTGGTCGGGCGCATTGAGGCGCTGGGGTGGCCCTAGATAAGACGGAGGCCCTGTTATTTCATGGGCCCCGTCGTGGTCCACCCCCTGGCGCCTCAATCGTGGTCAAGTCGGTCCTCGTACCGACGGGAGGTGGCTCTTCGACGAGCACTTCCGACAGCTTGCTCCAAAGCTGGTCGGCGCTGCGTCTGCCCTAGGGCGACTCTTGCCCAATATGGGTGGACCCAGCGTCGCGACAAGACGGCTGTACACGGGGGTTGTCCGGTCAATGGCGCTGTACGGTGCACCGGTGTGGGCGGCGGTGAGGGTAATGGCGGTCAGAGCCATACGCGGTTACCGCACCGTTTCTACGGAGGTGGCATGCGCGTTGGCCGGAACTCCCCCGTGGGATTTGGAGGCGGAAGTGCTCGCCGAAGTTTATCGGCGAGTGGCTGACTCCCGGGCGGAGAGCGGATTTCGCCCTCCGCCCGAGGATGTGCGCGAGTGGCGCGAAGCCGCTCGCCGAGCCACGATGGCTCGTTGGTCGTTCCGGCTGGAGACTCCACGCGCTGGCTCCGTCGCCGGGGAGGCTCTCCAGCCGGTCATCGCCGAGTGGGCAGGGCGGCAGCACGGGACCCTTTCCTTCCGGCTGACGCAGGTGCTTTCCGGGCACGGTTGCTTCGGAAAGTACCTGCACACGGTCGCTAGGAGGGAACTGAGTCCCGCCTGCCACCACTGCGACTGCAGTGAGGACTCGGCCCAGCACACGCTGGCGGTCTGCCCCGCATGGGCGGCGCAGCGCCGGGCCCTCACTGCAGTCATCGGAGTGGATCTCTCGCTACCGGCCGTAGTACGCTCCATGGCCGGTAGCGACAGTTGTTTTACCGCGGTCGCAACCTTCTGCGAGGTAGTAATCTCGCGGAAGGAGGCGGCGGAGAGGGCCCGGGAGGACGACCTCCACTCGGACCCGATCCGCCGCCGGCGAACCGGGCGGCGGAGGCCCGCCTATCACAGCCTCATGCCGCCCTGAGTGTGGCCGCGGGTGGACGGGGTGGGTTTCCCCTCCACCCGCATTAGTTTGGCCAGCCGCGAGGGGGCGGCGTCCGCGTGTGCCGGACGTCGCCTAAAGAGAGGAACATCAACATTGAGACGGAGCCCGCACCAGGAGCGGGCTGGCGCTAGGAGGGGTCCGGATGTCTTAACAACAGCTGTTCCCGGATCCCTCCTGTTACAGGCGCAGAGTGGCACACCGTGTGGTTTTAGTCGGTCCGAGTCCGACACACCACCCCGCCGCAAACCCCGGAGGGGTGACGGTCCGAGGGGATTTCCACACGTTAAAAAAAAAAAAAAAAAAAAGGGGTTGTCAAGTTTTCCTTCTTTTTGCAGTGCTGGTGTCCTGCGTTATTTTGTGCCCTTAGTCACCTCTTACGACACCCACGGGATGAATTGGGGTAGTGACATTCTGTATTCTTAATCCGTCACTACACGGACGTTGTGTTTATATAGATTAATTTAAATAAATTGTGTATATTTCATAAATCGGTGTATTCATATAATCAAACAACCCCAAAATCAACAACATAACTGTTTACAGTCTGTTATCGTAGAATGAGTTTTACTGGGAATATGGCACGCACTTTAAGATTGATATAATTGGAGTTTAAGTGTTGATAACATTAATATAACAATTAACATTAATAACTAATAACTTGTTTTTGGTAATGAATAAATTGTAAATATTGTTATTTATTAATGTGTTTATTTTTGTAGAAGATGTCAGACGTTGAAGAATAAACTTGAACATTTTTTTTCTTGAGAATAGCGAATTGATACACAAACTCTACTGCGTGGAGGGCAAAACAGAGGGTTAAGAATATTACCTGGTCTTTTCGACAGCCTCCAAGTGGTCCTTGAGACGCGCTCGCAGCTCGTTGATATACGCCTCACGCTTCTCTTCGTGCGTCTCCATCTTGGCGTCGAGCGCCTCCTTCGTAGTTACGATGAAGTTGTTCGTCTGTTCACTACGGATCCGAGATGCTTCTTCGATTTTCGCCATCTTCTGCGCGATAGCAGCCATCCGGCTCGCCTCCAAGCTCTATGACAATTTTTTTTTTAACTTGTCTTCCATTTCTTTTACTTAGTAGTTTTGGTTATAATTTGTGACAGTGATTTAAATGCATTTTATGCGATAGAATATTTTTTCTCTGCCAGCATAATTAATAAAAGAATGAATTAATACATACAGACGTTCATGTGAGAGAATTTTATTAAATCTGAAAGCATAAATTGCAGGCAGTTGATGTATCTTTCCTTCCATAGGCACAGACAGCCGAAACAAATGAATCCCGTTGAGCGAGCGACGAGTTTCTTTTGTTTGTGTGTTCTCACGAGAGACAAAGTGTCCCCAATGAGTTTTGTTATTTATGTAGGTTTGGCGAAAATAGTATTGTCTTTAGAGTGTCAGAGAACACTAACGGAAACTTCAAACTGGACAAAAATTTGTAAATTTTTGCTTTGTTTAAAAAAGAAGAAAAATTGGACTCATTTCACACAAAACGAACGTTATAAAAGAAGTGGCTACTTACACGTCTCCTCTCTTCGGCTGCTCTCAATTTCTCTTGAATCTCTTCGACTGAAGGTGTCTTTTCAGGGGAGTCAGCACGTCGAGGTACCGGCACGCCCACAGGCTCCGCCAAGATCACCTCATACGCCAGACCGCCCTTCGACATCTCTTGGCAGCGGATTTCAGTAGCTGTGGAAGAATTGTACTCATGAGACATTATCTTTATTATTTGCTATCCATACTAATATTATAATTACGGCGTGTCTGTCTGTTACCTCTTCACACTTAAACCGCTTGACCGATTTAGATGAAATTTGGTATAGAGATAGTTTGAGTCCCGGGAAAAGACATAGGATGTTGATAATTGTGTCCCAGAAATCATCATTCAAGGAGGTGAAAAGGGGGGTTTGGCAGTTCGTATGGGGAATCAATAACAATCTAAATATAAACAAATAAAAAAAATGTTTCGTAGTTTGGTTGTTTTCTATGTATAATATGTATGTATTTACAAAAAAGTATATTAGTATTCTATCTGATGACTGTGAACGTTAGATTGACTTATCAGTCAAGTACAAACAGTTCGAAACTAGATGGCGTTGTGTGTCACATGTCCAAAAATATTACTATTATGATTATAATCAGACGTTCACAAATCATATGATTTATAACAAGTGATTGTGATTTTATTCCACCCCTGTCCACCCCTTCAGGGATAAAGACGTGAGTGTATGTATGTACAAACAAAATACCCGCAATATCTTAAATTTTGAGTCTCTAAAACGTCAAATTCAATATCAATGTATTGTTAATGCATGCTTGGAGAGAAAAGAATGACTGAAAACCGTTGCTTGATGGATGTTGAATGAAAAAGAAAAATATTACGATTTATTTCTTCAATAATACTATAATACTCTTCAATAATATAAAAAGTAAGGATTTTTTGGACTATTATAAAACGCCCCAGTTTCGGATACTCAACACTTCGTCGGTATTTAAATATAAATTTAAATCTCGACATAATTGTTACATTACCACATCAATGCAACATTAGAATACGGTTATCACCAGTTATCCTCCTATGTGAGCCTAAATTATTAGCAGACATGATGATTATCAGTTATAACAGAAACTGGCCAAAATCTTTAGCGTAACGGTCTCCTCTCTCGCACTTTACCTGGAGGCATATATTTTAAACTACATGAACTCCAAGTTTGAACATCTGGAGAAGTCTAGATATGGAGAACAGAACTGGTTCAGAACTTATAGCTACGACGCGATAAAAGGTATGTATAGGAATTTATTTACCACAATATCATTTCTAAATGCGCCAATAGATTAAAATGTACAGGATCTTACATATTTTGAATGACACTGGTTATAATTTCAAAATAAAAACATCAGCACTGCGTCATTTTCAATTTCTTGGCAATGGAAATTAGTTTTATCAAATTATTACTGAATCTACATGTAAACTGATGAATTAAATAAATAAAAAGCCGATGACATATAGGAACATCATAAAGGAGCATTCATAAAATACAGGCACATTAACTAATAGAATGACGAACTACAAAACGAATTGCTAGCCGAAAAAAACCTTGAAAGTTATTAAGGTGCTGAATGAATCTGCGATTATAAATACCGTGTAGTCAGTACCATAACAAAGCTGATTCATGATCATACCTTTGTTGCTTATAAATAAAGTTCAATCACCCGAGGAAATTTCCGTCAAACAGTAAAAGTTAATTATACTACTGTATTTATATATATATTTTTTTTTATTTATTAATAAGTACTACCACATCATACTTATTATTCTTATAACTAGTTTTGACAATACGTGGCATTATACCTGATATGTATGACAATTAAGGTGTACATAGCATTTACTGTAATGTAGTAGTGTATAAAGTAGTAAACTAATTACAATCAAACGAGAAAAAAAAAAAACTAACTAAAGAAAGATACTTAATAATAATAATAAACTGTTTGAATTAATACTACTCTAAATCTATTTTATATCTTATTCACATTTGTTTGGGGTTAAGGCAGACGGACACAAAACATTTGTTATTTTAGTTTTAAATTCATTATACGATTGGCGAAAGATGTCAATGTCAGGATCACGAGTTTATACATAGGGTTGCAATATATTTTTTCCAGGCGGGTTGGTATAGGGTTTGTGTCAAGTTTTCCGTCTTTTTGCAGTGCTGGTGTCCTGCGTACCAACCCGCCTGGCCAGCGTGGTATAGTAGGCCAAAACCTTGTTTCTAAGGAGAGGCCTATGTCCAGCAGTGGACTATTAAAGGCTGTTGATGTGATGTGATGTGATATTTTTTCCTGTTTCTTTTCCTAAACTAGGTTGGGGTCTGCTTTAAGTCTACTATGATACGGCTGAACTTCGATTTTTTACGCGGGCAAACTGCCACCAGACCTCCACAACCTAAGTGTAGTATGCGATATCGAAGTTCTGTAGAAAGCCTTGTTGCTATTAGGGCTCCAACTACTCCTAACGATTGCCACAGATGTTCGTATGGCAACGGGGACTAAAGGTTAACGAAATCCCCGAGGGGTCTCAATGTCTTAAGTCACCCATCCATGGACTGACCTGGCTAGGATTGCTCAACTTTGCATTGTATTGAGCTACTCGGTTACCACTTAGCCCCAACCCCCTCCCTCCCAGGGTTATAACTTCATAGTTGTTGGTTTGCAACCCTGATATGCTAGAGATGTGTTACTTACATTACCTAATATCGGATATATGTAAACAATATGTCTTTCCTCCCGTCGCTTTCCCTTCTTATCTACCGTTATTTTCTATATTATCCTGAATATCCCAGCTAATTTATGAAGTTTGCACCTTAAGTTATATACATACATCTCTCTCTCTCTCCTTTCTCTGGAATCAGTGTCTCATGTCAAAGGACAAGTGACTCTTACGACAGTGTGAAGAGAGACAAATAACAAAACAGACGTGAAAAAAAAACAATCTTTGAAGCACGATGTATTTCGTGTCAAAGTTTGAGCTCAATCAGGGCAGAGCTTTATGAGTTTTTGAAGCGTACACAAATAATTTTAACATTTTATGTGTATAGATACACAACCTTTTCAGATATAACTATAGGAACAAGCAAATAAAATAACATTTTATTTAACTTTTAATTCATATTTTTCTCTTATTAGTTATTACACCAAAGACAGATTTAGGACAACGAGTTGCAACCCTATCGTTAAAAACACACACATGAGTCACTTTAAAGATTAACTGGACTTTCATTACGGTTGCTCCGCACTTGAGTGATGAAATAAAACAGGGCAAGTGCCAATCGGACTCGCGCACAAAGGGTTCTTCTGCCGTACAAGGTTTAACACTAAGTACTTCGTAATAAACGTAAGTGTAAGTTATTGTTTCATAACATCGTAAAAGTACATACAGAAACGATATTACAATATGTAAATCTTTGTAGTTATACACCCTGTATACAACCCAATCATCACATCAACAGCCTTTAATAGTCCACTGCTGGACATAGACCTCTCCTTAGACTGAAAATTTTGATCTACTACTAAGTTTTCTTTCTGTTTGCAGAGCTGTTGTTCTGCGTAGTTTGCTTCCATAGTCGGCTCTTACGGGATGAATAGGGGTGGTAAAACTCCGTTTTCTTAATCAGTCACCACACGGATTATTGTTATATCAACATTACTAACATTTAAATAAATTCTATTATATGTCATCTACAGCTCAAGACTTGCAGGACTAATAGACGAGCAAAAATGCTGAGAAAATGACGTATTTGAGACTTTTACACTGTAATTTAATTGAATATTTATTACTTGTGCAATGAGAGAGGCCTATGTCCAGCAGTGGACTGCGATAGGCTGATGATGATGATGTGTTTCATAGAGACGATAAAAACACTGTATCTGTAAAAATCTCAAGTGTCTAGTGTTTTTAGATTAGAACCTCGGTCAATTTGATGTAAGCTAGGTTTTAGACTAGCATTCCTGATGTTCAGGTTTTGCAATTGCTCTAAAACAATCATTTCACGTAACTTTGTCTAAAATAAGTCACTGTGTGTTACCCAAGATTTTGTGTCTCAATTTTTTTTTTACCTGAAAACTAATAACTTACAACAAAACTGTTAGCTGTCATCAAAGCTAGGCAATCTACAAAATCCCACAAAATTCCTTATAATACTTTACAAATTACCCATAAATTTACACGGCGTTAATTAACATACCGTTTAAATACAGTAACTAAAATCATTAAATTACATTCCCGAACGTTAAGGGTGGCATTCTTGAAACGCAACGCGCCCCGCGTTGTGGTAAATTAGCGGTATATTCAAGGTCGGGTAAACTCAACGGCATGAGAACAGGAATTCTGTATTGTTTAATTATCAGGAGTTGGGACCGTGTGGGGGCAGGGTAAGGCGATCTAGGAGACTGTCGCCCCCCACCCCAATGAGTCACCGCGCTGCATTACAATCACGTTGTTTACGATGACTGTCCGTAAACTATAGGTGACTAATCTAAGTATGTATTACTCCTGAAATAATATTTTTCAAGCTTGTCGGTAATGATTAAAAAAATATCCTTAAATTTAGTATCGAATCGAACATGAGAAAGCAGAAAAAAAAGGTTTAAGCTCCTAAAACATGTATGTGCAAGTAATAAAATTATAACATTCTAAACATAATATTTAGTTTTCGTGTCCACCCATTTTATTGTTGACTAGCTGAGACCCGCGTTTGTTGTTTTAACCGCGGGCAACGCCGCGGGGCGAAGCTAGTCTAAAAGAAGTAGCCTAAGTTACTCCTTATGTCATCAGCTATCTGCCAGTGAAAGTCCCGTCGAAATCGGTCCAGCCGTTCCAGAGATTACCCGGAACAAACAGACAGACAGACAAAAATTGTAAAAAATGTTATTTTGGCATATGTACCGTGTAAACATGCATATGCATTTAGTAAAAAGCGGTTATTTTAATATTACAAACAGACACTCCAATTTTATTTATTTCTACAGATTTTTCTTTTAGTTTTAGATTTTTTTAATCTACCAACTTCAACTGAATTTGAAATTAGTCAATAAACTTAAGTTTAGATTCAACCACTGTTTATTCTTACTTAATTTAATTATTTATAAATTATTATTTTTAATCGCTTTGAAAAAAAAGGAAAAAAGAAAAC